GTGCATCAGACCAGAGAACCATTACCCAACAGAACCGCAGTAGAACCAGTGTGACTACTAGAATCTGAGTAGAAGTGGTGGCTCTGGTCTCTTATGTCCTGGTTTTGTCCACAGCGGAGCAGACAGGAAGAAGGAACTCCACAGTCAGCGGTCTCACATGGAGGAGATTCAGGAGAATGAAGAAGCCCCTCCCCCAAAGGACCAGTCCCCTCCTCCCTCCTCACCTCTCCCATCACAGCCCCCACAGAAAGCCACCCCACCCTCTGACAGCAGCAGAGGCCACACCCCTATTAAAAGGTTCCAGTTTCTGATTTGTCAGCTGCATCTGACTTCACTTCCTGCTGATGCTGCTCTGACATCACTTTAATAACCCCGCCTCTAACAACCTTTGCCCTTCCCATACCTGAGTCAGCTGATCATCTCAGGATCAGGTGTGAGAAGAGCAGAGGCGACTGTTTCTTTAGACTGTTTTCAAAGTGCACAGCTTTCAGGAGGCGTTAACTAACATTCTGACTCCGCCTACAAACCCTTCAGCCACCTGATGACACTTGACCAGGTCACCTGGTAGGTGTTATCAGTTGCCTTTTGTAGTTTTGAACTAATTAACAACTACTCCCGTGGATTCCGCTAATGTCGGGTCACCTGGACGGGCCAGCTCCCACACAGGTCCGTGTTGGTCCTGATGATGTGTTGTTGGAGATCAAATCAGTCCACTTCCACCTGAGAGCTGTTTAGTTTAAAACAGAGCAATGTTCTGCAGAGGGACTCTGCCCCCTTTTGAACACTGATGTTACAATCTTGTATCCATCACACCTGATTGGCTACATCAGAACCAATCCTCTGACGTGGGTCGGTTCTGAGCTCCTGTGTGTGAGCTGGAGACACATGATGATGATCTAGTCAGATGAACGTTCTATTCTTGAACTGAATTGGATTCACGCAGTTTGTTTGATCTTCAATAAGGTTCCTTTTCTCGATTCCTTTTCCCGTTGTTCATGCGTGGAAACGGCTTTGGTCTTGTGTTCTCCTCCGACCTCCTGTTACTAACATGCTCTCCTCCTTTAGCTGAGCTGCTCTTGCTGGCCTTCTCCCTGTAACTCCTCCCAGCTTTAGACTCCTCTTCCTGTAGCTCCTCCCCATCCTGTTCTGAGGCTGGTTCTGTTTGTTCATCCAGGGGTCCCAGTGTGAAGCGGTCTTCAGGCATCGAGCGGTCTCAGAGCAGCACCTGGGACTCTTCAGAGGACACCAGGAACAAACTGGTGAAAGTTGCTTCTACCTCCAAACTGCTGGGTAAACTGGGGAAGAATGCTGAAAAGTACGAAAAATAAACTCACACACACACACACACACACACACATTAGTTAGAACTTAGAGGTAAAGCATGGCAGCTCACAATGTGATGTGAGAGACTGTCCGTCACTGATTGGCCAGGGGGTGGAGACACAGGTTGGCGAGTTTCTCGCCTAGCAGCCTTTTCAAGGTCTCTTCTTCTAACCCTTAATCCACACCGGAGGCATCAGTGGCACGAAACGTCCACACAGGGGGAGCATCAGACGCAGAGTGGCTTCCACGCTGTCCTCCTTGCTGAATTTGCGAGATCACAAAGTCTATTGAGACTTCAGAGGTTACGGTTTGTTTATTCTATCCTCCATTAAACCAAGCAGAAGGATCGCTGGCTGCAATGCACATGAATCACAAGCTAACAATAGAAAGAAGCACAACACCTGTCCCTTCCCCTCCGGCTCGGTTGTTGTGTCGGGGGGATTGTGCTCGCAGGGTTCGGGGGCCACAAAGAGGGCCACACATGGCCCGCGGGCTGCCTATTGAGGACCACTGGTGTAGCTCAAGGCAAGGCAGTGCTGTCTCTGTGTGTGTGTGTGTGTGTGTGCGCGCACACACTCCTCACAGCAGTGAGAAGACAGACGGAAAGCTGACGCAGCTTCAGTCAGAGGCAACGTTAACTTCTCAGCATCCATAGTGTCAATGAATCGTGCACACGGGACCTCCTGCTGGTTGATTCTGTCTGCCAATCAGAACTTCCCCTAATGGTGGATGTGTACTTGAGCCGGCCAATCAGTTGGCGGTGGGTGTGTTGGACCTGTTCAGCCCGAAGCAGACTGCCTTGGTATGAGGCCTAAAACGACCGGTTAAGCATGAAAAATACAAGGCTACCTAGTGAACACTTTAAAAGCTACCCAGTCCGGTCCGTGCTGGCCCAGATGTGAAATGGCCCTATGCCTGTAGGTCATGCATGTAGTCTTGTTGCCTGAAATTGATACGGATAAATAGAAGTATCATTGTCATAACCAGGGCGAACTCGTGACCAGTGGGTGAGGGTTTAGTAGTGTCTCAGGTCTTCCTCACAACACGTCTGGAAGCTTCCAACGTGCTGCTGACTGGCGTCAGTCTGGCTGTTTTGTTATTATTGTTATTTTTCTCTGCGACATTCTGATGCTAATGCTAGCTCACTCAACTTGTGGGAAAATATCATAGGCTAAGTAATGAAGGGTGAATTTCCCATTGACATATTAAACACCCTCCTCTAGACTCAGATACCAAAGTCACTTTGGTTTTGCCTTGAACACATCAAAGCTATGTTACTCAAACATAATCAAGAGAAATCTGACCTGGTTCAGGTTGGGAGTCTGATATTTTGATTAAATGAACTGAGTGGAAAATAATTCCAGATATTAACCAAACTTTTTTTTTTGTCTGTCTCAGGCACAAAGACGCAGGGGTCAGCCAAGGTAACCACAACCTTCGTCATCATGAATCTACAGTGGGATGTAAAAGTTTATAATAATTGTTGACACAAAATTAGGCAGGTGCATACATTTGGGCACTGTTGTCATTTTATTGAGGGTCGGGGTGGGCGAGGTGCAGGACAGTCCATTATTTTTGCATATTTTTTCATCCTGGAGCGCAAAACCACCCCGGTCACTAGGTGGCAGCAGCACTCAGACTAATCAACAGGCTGCCGTTTTGACCCAGCAGAGGAAGTTCACAAACACACACACACAGGAGAACACGGAGGTGAGAGTTAACAGCTGAAGTGCCGGTGTTATGTTGATATGTGTTCCCCCTTGAGATTTGTTTCTTTTGCACCTAGCTGCGAGTGGAGACGACCCACTCACAAAAATAACCCTACAACCCCCTCTGTCTGCATAAAAGCAGTGTTGGAACATACTATGGTACCATACCCTCGTGAGCATCAGTTGAACAGCATTGTACTGCTGTTAATAGCGTGTTGCTACAAAATAGGGCTGCAACAACGAATCGATAAATTCGATGAAAATCGATTACTAAAAGCGTTGGCAACGAATTGCGTCATCGATTCGTTGTGTTGCGCAACTCTTCCAAAAGCCCCCTCCCCTCCCGCCCGCCGTTGTGCGCAGACCGGTGGAGAGCCAGCAGGTGTTTGTAAGAGGAACATGGCAGAAGCAGCGAGACCCCCAAAAAGTTAAAACTTCTAAAGTTTGGGAGCATTTTCGGTTAAATCAGGCGAAGACATGCAACGTTTGTAGGTCAGACTTAGCATGGCATGGGGATACTACGGTGATGATGCAGCGTCTTAAACGCAAGCATGTCAGAATCATCAGCGAGGAAGGAGAGAGCTCGGAGTCCGGGTAAGTTAAAAACTTTTCAAAAGTGATTCACCCAAGCTCCGGATTATTACACAGGCTAGACATGCCCTAAGCTCGTAAAAAAAAGTCTTTAAAATTGTAAGCGCGACGCTATTAGATATGCGGGGGGGGGGACTCGCGCCGTCACATTCCCGCAGAAACTGGTTGATCACACCGGGGCCAGACTACTAACTTGTGGCTTTACAACCACAATGTCCTCAGAAGCGAAAACGCTTTTTAAAGGGAGGGAGGAGTCCTAACTGTTGCTGCAGGCGTGTTGTGAGTGCAGTTATATACTGGTTAATATATTTTTGGGTTCAGTTGCTTTCATGTGGCCTAATGTGGGTCTATTTGGGATCATTGGAATGATCAGCAGCATTTCTTGATGTGACTTTATGGCAGTTGCCCAGGGCATCATCACAAGGAGGATGGCATTCATTTACTTTTGTTTTATTTGGTATTTTTCAGTCATTTTTGGAAATAGTGATTAATTTTGATTAATTCACAGCCTATGTTTAATTACATTTAAAAATTAGTTGTTTGACATCCCCAATTATAATAAATGTCTACAGATGAGATCAAACAAAACAGATGAGAATTGCCCTTAAAGAGCAAGTCACGCCCAAATACTTTTTTTTGCTGATAGACTAAATAAACGAGAGTCTAATCGTGCTGCAGACACGTGTCGTCAATAATTTGGCACTTCAGTGCATCTTAGTTAAAATTTAAATATTCTGCCTAAAACTGGCAGTGTTGTGCCGTTGTCAGGTAAAAACTCTGCACTGTATTTTAATTTAAATCTGCCACCGCTATTGGCTAAGAAGTATGCTATGATGTAAACTGGTACATTATGATGTCACAATGCTGTTGTGAGCCTGAGTGTGTGTGTATTTGTTAGTGGCTCCGCCCTCTCGGTCTGCCAGTTAACAGCATGTGTTGCATTTTTCAAACATGAAGCGGGAGTGGAGTTGGACTCTGGTAGGGGTTGACTTGCTCTTTAAGCTGTTTAACTTGGACCAAGCATTTTAGGTCACAGATAGGTGTAGCTTAGGGTCTCTGTCTATACACCTTATAAGACAATTTAGGTGATGGCATGTTGTTTTTCTGCTATTGAACTGTTTTCTAATAATGTTGTGTTTAATAAAGTGAGGGAAGGAGAAAAATAACGTTTCCCTAGCAGTTTTTAAAAATGTCCCTATGTAATCCGATTAATCGATTAATCGTGTCGAGACCCCATCCGATTAATCGATTATCCAAATAATCGTTTGTTGCAGCCCTACTACAAAAATAGCCAGAAAAAGGCAATTAACAATGGAAGAGAGACAGACCATCATGACACCTGTAGGTCTTTCCTACAGAGAAATAGCAAAGAAAGTCAAGGCGTCAGTAAGTACAGTTTCCTTCACCATCAAAAGGCACTCAGAACTTGGGGCAAACTCTTGACAGGAAGAGGTCTGGCAGACCCAAAGCCACAAATGCATCAGAGGACAAGTTTCTGAGAGTTAACAGCTTACAAGATAGGTGGCTCACAGGACAACAGCTTCAAACACAGCTTAATAGTGGTCGTAGTAAGCAAGTCTCAGTCTCAGCTATGAAGAGAAGACTTCCAGCTGCAGGTTTGACAGGACGAGTTGCAGCAAGAAAGCCACTGCTAAGGTGTCAGAATTGGAGAACGAGGCTTGCCTGGGCCATGAAACATCACCATTGGACTACTGAAGACTGGAAGAAGGTATTATGGACTGATGAATCCAAATTTGAAATCTTCGGTTCATCATGCAGGACCTTTGTATGCCTTTGAGTAGGTGAAAGGGTTGTTCCACAGTGTGTGGCATCAACTGTCAAACATGGAGGAGGAAGTGTGATGGTCTGGGGCTGTTTTGCTGGATCCAGGGTCGGTGACTTGTACAGAGTGAGAGGCACCCTGAACCAAAACGGCTACAACAGCATTCTCGAGCAACATGCAGTACCCTCTGGTACCCCAAAACATAAGTCCAAGCTATGCCAGAACTACCTCGGGAAAAAGAACAAGATGGTGAGCTTGTAAACATGGAGTGGCCAGCACAGTCTCCAGACTTAAACCCCATCGAGCTAGATTGGGATGAACTGGACAGAAGAGTGAGCAAAGCAACCTACAAGTGCCACACAGTTATGGGAACTTCTGCAACAGATAAGGAAGAACTTTCTGAAGAATATTTGATTTCTATTGTAGAAAGAATGCCACGAGTGTGTTCAGCTGTTAAATCTGCCAAAGGTGGCTACTTGGATGAGCCAAAAGTTTAGAATACTTTGGTCTATAAATTGATTCCATGATTTCTTTTTTAACTCCAATTGCTTATTTGTACTATGCTTTCATTTCAGAGTGCAGTGTGACATTAAACTGCATCATTTCCAATAAAAAACTGGGAAAATTGGGGCGTTCTAAAACATTTGACCGGTAGTATATGCACCTGCCTAATTTTGTTTAGACAGTTATTGCACGCTTTCTGTAGCTCTTATAAACCGCTCATATATCACTGTAGCTGTTTTTGCAGGACCATAGCGTTTGCAAAACGGGATTTGCCGCGGCTCCCTGGGGAGGATTTTTCCATTTATAGTAGCAAAGCTGAAGCTAGAATTAACTGCCATCAGGCACCACTCAAACCAAGACGGGATAAAGGGAGGTCGCTGGGCGCCCCCCCCCCCCCCCCGGTATGTGACGTACAGGGTCACGCATTCAGCGTCAGACTGGGGACTGTTCTGTTCTGGTCCTGCTGGACCTGACTGCAGCCTTTGACACTGTTGACCATCACCTGCTACTGGAGAGGCTGAGAGACTGGGTAGGCCTATCAGGAACTGCTCTGGAGTGGTTCTCCTCTTATCTGTCTGAGCGCTCCTTTTCTGTGGCCGTCTCCAAGTATAGGCTCTCCACCACCTCCCTTACCCATGGTGTCCCACAAGGTTCTGTGCTGGGGCTACTGCTCTTCCTCCTCTATCTGCTCCCTCTTCAGCACATCCTGAGCTCCTTCAAAGGAATCTGCTACCATTTTTATGCAGATGACATCCAACTGTACATCTCGCCCCATGAGATGTCTAAGCTGCAGCTGTTACACACCTGCTTAGACTTTATCAAAACCTGGATGGCTGGGAGCTTCTGCAGCTGAATGAAGATCAGACTGAGATCCTCATCTGTGCCCCAGACAAGCTGGTTCCCAAAGTCAGAGACTCTCTTGGTCAGCTTGCTTCTCACACCAAACCCTCTGTCAGGAATCTTGGCATGACCTTTGACCCAGCTCTCACCCTGGATTCTCATGTCAGTTCTCTTGTTCGCTCTTCCTTCTTCCATCTCAGGAACATTGCTAAGCTGAGTCCCATTCTGTCCCGCTCTGAACTTGAGACAGTTCTCCACACCTTCATCTCCTCACGCTTAGACTACTGTAACTCTCTTTTCACGTGTCTGAGCAGAACCTCCCTGAACCGTCTACAGGTGGTTCAGAATGCCTGTGCTCGGCTTCTGACCAAGTCCTCCAAACACACCCACATCACCCCGCTTCTCCTCCAGCTTCACTGGCTGCCAGTCAACATCAGGGTTCATTTCAAGATCCTGGTTCTGGTCTATAGGGCCTTGCATGGACAAGCACCATCTTACATTGGTGATCTTCTTAGTCCCTACACCCCCAGCTGGTCCCTGAGGTCCAGTGATCAAAGCCTACTGGTTGTGCAGCACCAGGCTAAAGACCAAAGGTGACAGATCATTTGCTGCTGTGGCCCCCAGACTCTGGAACTCTCTCCCCCTGAGCCTGAGATCAGTGGACTCAGTGGTCTCCTTTAAAAAGCAGCTGAAGTCTCACTTGTTCAAAGTGGCTTTTGTATGATCTTCTTCACCACTCTCTCTTTATTCTGCTCTCCCCACCTATTCCACCTTCCTCAGATCCTCTCATTTCCCTCTTTCCTTGTCACTCTCTCTCTTAACATTTTTTAATCACAATTGTCTATTTTTTTGCTCATTTTAAATATATATTTTTCACCATTTTCTAAATTCTTTTTTATATTTTTACATTTGTTGTTTTTGTGAAGCGCCTCGTGATTTTTATCTTGAGAGGCGCTATAGAAATGATATTTTCTTCTTCTTCTTCAGACTGATGAAATGTCTTTTTCAGGCCCTTTAGCTTTGATGTGACCTGCTTTTTGTCCCTCTTGACGCCCCGCTCAGCCAGTGTTTTCACCACTCTGTCGAACAGCTGGCTCTCACCGTCCCCGTAAAAAGGCGACTAATTTGTTCGTCTGCTCGCACAGCCAAAAGCTCCATGGTCTCCACGTCCATTATCTATGTTTATATCCCTTCCGGCCAGCACTCGGCGCGCAGTATACGTCAGTAAAAGGCGGCCACCATCTTTTGCGGGGGGGGGGGGGGGGGGGGGGGGGGGTCCCACAGTCGTTCCAAAGGGATTAGCGGAGCTGACACGCGTTTAGCCGTCAGAGGCGAGGGGCTCATGCTGCAATATTACTACGAGGCTAAGCATATCAGAATCGAGTTTTATCACCTTTCTCCTTTGCTCCTTGCCGCATTTACAAGACCCACAAATTCGGATTTATCACTCTGTAATGACGCGATGGTCTGTCTTATAAAAGAGGCTTGTGTGTGTCTCTTATGCAATTAATATAACTAGAATTTGTTTTTATCTTAACAACCAATGACATATACAGGAAAATCATGGAGATTAACATGGCTGCCCAAACGTTTGCATCCCACTGTACCTCAGTCATCATCAGCAGCATCATAGTTTGAATGGCCATTAGGAATCCAGAGTCTCTACCTGCTCTTTCTGACACATTCTAAACATTTTCATTGTTTCTAAAGTTTTAGGTTTTGTCTCAGATCATATTTGTGTTCTCCTTGTTTGTTTATGTTGTTGGTGATGTTTGTCTCAAACCAGCCAAAATGTCAACCCGAGAGAAAAACAGCCAAGCCGGTAAGTTGTATCGGGCGAGCTCGCAGGCTGATGCTAATGGATGCTTTAGAGCACTTCCTGTTTCTGGATCTCTTCTCTCCTTGCCTTCTACTACCAGCCTCACTCATCTGCCCTTTCCCCTTCTAACTACTCGGGTGTAAGATCTGCATTTGGCCCTGCCCAATCGTCGTTATCTTCATAAAGGGTCAAACAGTGAGAGTCCAAGTGTAATCAGCGTTATCAAATCGTTATAAAAGAGGAAGTTATTCACTGGACTTTATCCATATACACCAAATTCAGGGTTCTTTTATCCTCCCCCGCCATAGAGTTCAGCCTTTGATTTTCCTTTGCATTATCAATTATCAGAAATAAAAATCACTTTTAAATATTTAAAAATTTGATTTAGTATTTTCTGGATGCATCCTAGTGAACTAGACCAAATTCTTGCTTTGCAAAGTTTGGTCTAGGAACACTCCATTGAAACCTCTGCAGCCCCTAGCAGCATTCTTGCTGGCAAATCACAGCTGTCTATAGGTGTTTCAAAACCAATAGAGCTCTGTGATTGGTCCACAATGTTGTTTTCCGCCTGTTACTGACACGTTTCCCCTCCTGCTACTGACACGTTTCTCACCTGTTACTGACACGTTTCTCACCTGTTACTGACACGTTTCTCACCTGTTACTGACACGTTTCTCACCTGTTACTGACACGTTTCCCCTCCTGTTACTGACAAGTTTCTCACCTGTTACTGACACGTTTCTCACCTGTTACTGACACATCTCTCACCTGTTACTGACACGTTTCTCACCTGTTACTGACACGTTTCTCACCTGTTACAGACACGTTTCTCACCTGTTACTGACACGTTTCTCACCTGTTACAGACACGTTTCCCCCACCTGTTACTGACACGTTTCCCCTCCTGTTACAGACACATTTCTCACCTGTTACTGACACGTTTCTCACCTGTTACTGACACGTTTCTCACCTGTTACTGACACGTTTCCCCTCCTGTTACTGACAAGTTTCTCACCTGTTACTGACACGTTTCTCACCTGTTACTGACACGTTTCTCACCTGTTACTGACACGTTTCTCACCTGTTACAGACACGTTTCCCCCACCTGTTACTGACACGTTTCTCACCTGTTACTGACACGTTTCTCACCTGTTAATAACACGTTTCCCCCACCTGTTACTGACACGTTTCTCACCTGTTACTGACACGTTTCTCACCTGTTACTGACACGTTTCCCCTCCTGTTACTGACACGTTTCTCACCTGTTACTGACAAGTTTCTCACCTGTTACTGACAAGTTTCTCACCTGTTACTGACACGTTTCTCACCTGTTACTGACACGTTTCTCACCTGTTACTGACACGTTTCTCACCTGTTACTGACACGTTTCTCACCTGTTAATAACACGTTTCCCCCACCTGTTACTGACACGTTTCTCACCTGTTACTGACACATCTCTCACCTGTTACTGACACATCTCTCACCTGTTACTGACACGTTTCCCCTCCTGTTACTGACACGTTTCCCCTCCTGTTACTGACACGTTTCTCACCTGTTACTGACACGTTTCTCACCTGTTACTGACACGTTTCTCACCTGTTACTGACACGTTTCTCACCTGTTAATGACACGTTTCCCCCACCTGTTACTAGGGCTGGGGGTAAACGATTATTTTTAAAACGATTATTCTGACGATTATTTTATCGAATAGTCGACTATTCTAATGACTATTTAGAAAATTAATCTAATGATTATTTTTCTATTGCACGATTAACAAAAACCAGAAAATCTCAAATAAATTCCTCAAAAAAATTGATAAATTCTTACTGTAAAAGAATAAACACTACAGGCCTTCCATTTTGTATAACACTGCTTTTATTGTGTTGCGGTTGGTTATGTTCTGGTGACGTGTAGAACTTGGGAGTGCAGGCTGCTGCCTGAGAGGTGGTAGAAGATGGTGTCTCCATGCTGCTTTGTTTTAGTCACTTATGTGCGTGAGGCGAGTGGTCTTACGGGTTAAACCATACTCAAGGTGATATTTTAAACTAAACCGAAAACCCACAACACTCTAAATGTAATAAAAGGGAGATCTACACCACAAAAAAGATAAACTCTAAACCAAAACGTAACAGCTTATCCCAACGCAAGAAGCTGTTAGCGAAGATGCTAACAGTAGCTTTACCAACATTAAGTTCAAGTTACCAAGTTTAAATAAACCAAAAACACCCAGCAGCAAACAGACCAGCACGAAGGAGAGACTGCTACCACCAAAACAGCTCTCCTCATGTCTGAAAGAAGCTCCTTTATGAAGGGAGAAGCGCTCCCGGTGATGTCCTACATCTGCGATAGACACGAAGCAGCGCGTCTGACCCCGGAAGTTGTTGTCTGTTGCCGGGAGACGAAGGGGCAAAACAGGAAAATAATCTAGTAGTGGACGGACGTTGTTCCGGGTCTTCGGTATTTGGCGGAGATGTTAGTGAAGGCGGAGAAGAGGGCGAACTACAGGAAAAACAGGCAGATTCCTCCTCTATTTACAAACTCCTGGGGATGCAACAAGTGGGCGCGGTGCGTCGACTTCCGGATCTGACGTCGACAAATTTTTAGAATCGAGCCGTCGACTTTGTCGAGGCTTCGCTACAGCCCTACCTGTTACTGACACGTTTCTCACCTGTTACTGACACATTTCTCACCTGTTACTGACACGTTTCTCACCTGTTACTGACACATTTCTCACCTGTTACTGACACATTTCTCACCTGTTACTGACACATTTCTCACCTGTTACTGACACGTTTCTCACCTGTTACTGACACGTTTCTCACCTGTTACTGACACGTTTCCCCTCCTGTTACTGACAAGTTTACCCACCTGTTACTGACACGTTTACCCACCTGTTACTGACACGTTTCCCCCACCTGTTACTGACACGTTTCTCACCTGTTACTGACACGTTTCTCACCTGTTACTGACACATTTCTCACCTGTTACTGACACGTTTCTCACCTGTTACTGACACATTTCTCACCTGTTACTGACACATTTCTCACCTGTTACTGACAAGTTTCTCACCTGTTACTGACACGTTTCTCAACTGTTACTTACACATTTCTCACCTGTTACTGACACGTTTCCCCTCCTGTTACTGACAAGTTTCCCCCACCTGTCACTAAAAAGTTTCCCCCACCTGCTACAGACACGTTTCCCCTCCTGTTACAGACACGTTTCTCCTCCTGTTACTGCCACGTTTCCCCTCCTGTTACTGCCACGTTTCCCTCCTGTTACAGACATGTTTCCCCTCCTGTTACAGACACTTTTCCCCTCCTGTTACAGACACGTTTCCCCTCCTGTTACAGACACGTTTCCCCTCCTGTTACAGACACGTTTCTCCTCCCGTTACAGACACGTTTCCCCTCCCGTTACAGACACGTTTCTCCTCCTGTTACAGACACGTTTCCCCTCCTGTTACAGACACGTTTCTCCTCCTGTTACAGACACATTTACCCTCCTGTTAAAGACACGTTTACCCTCCTGTTACAGACACGTTTACCCTCCTGTTACAGACACGTTTCTCCTCCTGTTACAGACACGTTTCCCCTCCTGTTACAGACACGTTTCTCCTCCTGTTACAGACACGTTTCCCCTCCTGTTACAGACACGTTTCCCCTCCTGTTACAGACACGTTTCCCCTCCTGTTACAGACACGTTTCCCCTCCTGTTACAGACACGTTTCCCCTCCTGTTACAGACACGTTTCCCCTCCTGTTACAGACACGTTTCTCCTCCTGTTACAGACACTTTTCCCCTCCTGTTACTGACACGTTTCCCCTCCTGTTACAGACACGTTTCCCCTCTTGTTACAGACACGTTCCCCCTCCTGTTACAGAAACTTTCCCCCTCCTGTTACAGACACGTTTCTCCTCCTGTTACAGACACGTTTCCCCTCCTGCTACAGACACGTTTCTCCTCCTGTTACAGACACTTTTCCCCTCCTGTTACAGACACGTTACCCTCCTGTTACTGGCACATTTCCCCCACCTGTTACTGACACGTTACCCTCCTGTTACTGGCACGTTACCCTCCTGTTACGGACACGTTACCCTCCTGTTACTGGCACGTTACCCTCCTGTTACGGACACGTTACCCTCCTGTTACGGACACGTTACCCTCCTGTTACGCCACGGACACGATTCCACCACCTGTTACCGACAAGTTTCCCCACCTATTACTAACTTGTTTACCTGCCTACCCAGTACTATTTGGCTCTCACTAATGATTAGAGGCAGCTAGAGATGGTCTTTACCTACTTTTACAGAAACATTCATGCATGGCTTGAGTACCTTTCTTTACCAAGGAGCTCCACTGAGGAGTTTTTGTTTTTGCCTGATGTTTCAGATGGAAATTCCATCAAGATGTTCATGCGTGGCCGGCCTATCACCATGTTCATCCCCTCCAATGTGGAAAACTATGATGATGTTCGGACCGAACTTCCTCCTGAAAGACTTAAGCTGGAATGGGTGTATCCTTCAGAATGATGAGCCGCTCGTACTCAAGCAGCATCAAAATCAAATCATTCTGGAACTTGACAAGTTGACACATAAAAGCAGGTCCCCTCTGGTTGCCTGATAGCCTGATTACCCATCCTATAAATGTGAATATATAGTCTGGCCACAACAACAACTAGGGCCCTCAGTCGTGGGGTGGGATCTACAGTTGAATTTCAAACTGTCTCTGCGTGCTATTGGACGATGAACAACGTGACATACTCACTGCTGCTGGTGTCAGTCGAAGGGTCATTCAGTCTGTCCTTTTTTGGTTTTTGGTCACAATATTACGTGTTGTAGTAAAAAAAAATGCACTCAGTCCTTTTAATCAAGTAGTTCTAAATTATTTCCATTACTAACACACACCTGCTGATCACCCATCCTTCCTCACTGTAAGTGATTCACAAGACGAAAGGTTTTGGGGACATCTATGATGTTTATTTAGAGGTAACAAGTGCACCACTTATTATCTACGGCCAAAAGTTTTGAGAATGGGACAAATATTAGTTTGCTCCAAAACTGCTTTTAGGTTTTTGTTTCAATTGTTTCTGTGATGTACTGAAATATGTTTCAAAGGCTTTTATCAACAATTACATGACATTTATGCAAAGAGTCAGTATTTGTAGTGTTGGCCCTTCTTTTTCAGGACCTCTACAATTCCACTGGGCATGCTGTCAATCAGCTTCTGGGCCAAATCCTGACTGATAGCAACCCATTCTTTCACGATCACTTCTTGGACTTTGTCAGAATTAGTGGGTTTTTGTTTGCCCACCCGCCTCTTGAGGATTGAACACAAGTTCTCAATGGGATTAAGATCTGGGGAGTTTCCAGGCCATGGACCCAAGATTTAAACGTTTTGGTCCCCGAGCCACTGAGTTATCACTTTTGCCTTATGGCACGGTGCTCCATCGTGTTGGAAAAGGCATTGTTCTTCACCGAACTGTTGTTGGTTTGTTGGTAGAAGTTGCTGTCGGAGGGTGTTTTGGTACCATTTTTTATTCATGGCTGTGTTTTGGGGCTAAATTGTGAGTGAACCCACTCCCTTGGATGAGAACCCTAACCCTAACCCCACACATGAATGGTCTCAGAATGCTTTACTGTTGGCACGACACAGGACTGATGGTAGCGCTCACCGTTTCTTCTCCAGACGAGCCTTTTTCCAGATGCCCCAAACGATCGGAAAAGGGCTTCATCGGAGAATATGGCTTTGCCCCAGTCCTCAGCAGTCCATTCGCCATAATTTTAGCAGAAGATCAATCTGTCCCTGATGGGTTTTTTTTTTTTGGAGAGAAGTGGTGTATTTGATGCCTTTCTTGACACCAGGTCATCTTCCAAAAGTATTCACCTCACTGTGCGTGCAGATCCACTCACACGTGCCTGCTGCCATTCCTGAGCAAGCTCTGCACTGGTGGCACTCTGATCCCGCAGCTGAATCCTCCTTGGGAGACGATCCTGGCGCTTGCTGGACTTTCTTGTACGTCCTAAAGCCTTCTTAACAAGAATTGAACCTCTTTCTTTCAAGTTCTTGATGATCCTATAAAGTTAAAGTCCCATTAGTTCTCACACACACAGGTGTGTGTGCGAAATTTGTTCTCCGCATTTGACCCATCCCCTGGGGGAGCGGTGAGCTGCAGACACAGCCGCGCTCGGGAACTATTTGGTGGTTTAACCCCCAATCCAACCCCTTAATGCTGAGTGTCAAGCAGGGAGGCATTGGGTCCCATTTTTTCAAAGTCTTTGGTATGACCCGACCAGGAATCGAACCCCTGATCTACCAGTCTCAGGGCGGACACTCTACCACTAGGCCACTGAGAAAGGTTATAAATTGTTGATTTAGGTGCAATCTTAGTAGCCACAATATCCTTGCCTGTGAAGCCATTTTTATGCAGCGCAATGATGGCTGCATGCGTCTCCCTGCAGGTCACCATGTTTACCAATGGAAGAACAATGACTGCAAGCATCACCCTCCTTTTAACATGTCGAGTCTGCCAGTCCAACCCAATCAGCCTGACATAATGATCTCCATCCTTGTGCGCATCAACATTCTCACCTGAGTTAACAAGACGATTACTGAGTCGATCTCAGCAGGTCCTTTAATGGCAGCAGTAAAATGCAGTGGAACGTATTTTGGGGATTAAGTTAATTTCCATGGCAAATGAGGACAATGCAGTTAATCTGATCACTCTTCATAACATTCTGGAGTTTATGCAAACTGCTGCTATAAAAGCTGAAGCGGCAACTTTTCCAATTTCCCATATTTGTGCCATTCTCCAAACTTTTGGCCACGACTGTAGTTTAAGTTAAAGCGTTTAGCTGTAACATTAATATGCTGCTGGTCGGCTGGTTAAACTAAATATTAATGACAATTAAATAGTGAATATTTGTTATTATATGTGAAATAAACTGACCGAAGGAAACCATCATGACTGTTTTTAACTGTCGGTCCAAATGAAAACCAACGCGTGTAGCTAACCTCTGATGTAGGTGTTTCTGTACCTGCCTGTAACTCATACTGGTAATAGCGTGTTTAATTAAGGCTCACCCAGAAGATAAACCCTGGAGCAGCTCCTGTTAGTGGAGGCATGTTTCTGGGCGGTTACTTTTCACTTTTACTAGGTTATGACTATGTTGAAGCAGTACTACACTTACTCAGGTGATTTATTTTCATTAGTGATAAAACGTCTGAGCTCCGTTAGTTTCCTTTGAGGTCATGGAGATCTACGGTGTCGACTGTAGACACTTCCTGAAATCACTGATCTCTGGTCTCCTTCAGAAGTTTATCCCTGTAAGGATGTGTTCGTTGTTCTTTTATCCATCCTTTTGACTCTTGTTCTGCTTCAACTCCAGCTGCAGCTTCCCTTAGCAACACCAGTCATACACCTAAAATGGTGCTAAGGGGGGGTGGTTGACATGCAGGTCACGTGTCTGTCAAGAACCGACTGGGGATTTTCCTCAGGTGCGTTGAAACAAGAGTTGAAACTAAAACATGCTGGAGACCGGCCCTCCAGGCCTGGAACTGAGTTCCCCTGATCCTCAACAGAGCTAAAGTTGCTTCTTAGTAGCTCTCCAGCTGTTGTTCAGATGGTAGTCATGGTGACTGCCACAACTGCCCTTCTGGTGCTCATCCATACCTGAAGGGCTCATCAGCTTTGGACTGTTTAGACTCGGGGGTTTTTTCTTTGGCTCAAAAGCAGATGGAGGTGCCCAAGTCTTTTTAGAAAAAGGATGTATTTGACTACGTCGTTGACTGACATCGGTAGCGGTGAGCACGTCAAGTTGTTTGTTGTCCAATAGCATGCAGAGACGTAGATCCCGCCCCATGTGGACAGCGGCCAGACCATGTCCTCAACGTGGAGACACACAATGTCCAAAACGTATTTATTCATCTTTTGGGTGGAAAGTGGAAAACACACAAGTAACTGTATTCTAAATACAATGTTTAAAAGTAGTACCTGTAACTAAATATGGTTGCTCATAATTAGTATTGTAACGGCGGTCCGTGTATTCCGTTACGGCCCGACACCGAAGAGATGTCCAGCTGTTTTCCAGGTGTTTCCTTGACCAGGTTCAGGTACGGTTACCGAGGCAGGGACTGCAGAGCCAACGTCTACCTCCTCCCAACCGGAGAGATCGTTTACTTCATTGCATCGGTTGTAGTTCTGTTTAACTACGAGGAACGGACTCAGAGACACTATTTTGGACACACCGACTGCATCAAATGGTTAGAAACTCTATAAACGTCTCCTGCGATTGAAGTCTTCTGCTGTTTGGTGACGGTAACATTGTCTCTGTGCATCAGTCTGGCCATCCATCCTGATAAGATCCGCATTGCTACAGGTCAGATAGCAGGAGTGGACAAAGATGGACGCGTGAGTACAGACATCAGCTTGTTTTAGCTTTCACAGGTTTGAATCTGTCCCACTAAAAAATTGAAATGTGTGAAAAGAGCTGAGAAAAATAGCTTTCACTGAAAACATCCACACTTTTCTACAGCTCCAGGTACCCCTCCAGCATCATTTCCCTCTGTAAACATGTTTTAATCTGGTGGTAGACACCTAAAACTCATTAATCAGGTAGACGCCTCACCTGAGGGGGGCTCTGCCAGGTTTTACAGCATTGAGAGTTTTAGATTTTTTCTTTCTGTCAATTACAACCCCGAGGCTTCTGACAGAGGACGACCAGTAGGGTGTCAGGGCACCCTGATCAGGAGCAGAGCTCACACACCTCTTGCTAGAAGGGAGGAATGTAATAGACCCTTTTACTGTTTGTAAACAATATGACGTCAGCGAGAATGCGCGCGCAGCTTGGCAACAGAGAATGGCGTCGTTTCAGGCTTTATCAAGCTACGCTGCGGGGTTATCACCGGCAAATCTTGAATGTTGTATTATTAAACTCACGTTAACGAATGGCAACAGACTCCCAGATCCCTGTGGCATTACGGAATGGGTGGAAGATGTAGGTGCGTGGCCGGATATCCAGTGGCCCGATATATATACGTTTTTACAGGGTATCCGCGGGTCCTTAAAAAGTCTTAAATTAGCTTTTCCAAATTTAAGGCCTTAAAAATCCTTAAAAATGACAAATAATCCTTAAAAACAGTTTCCAAAGGTCTTAAATTACCAAAGACCCAATGAACAAGATCCTTTTGTTTTCCTGAATTTCTAGTTAGTCTTCAGCATTTTTTGTGTATGATATTGGCGTAAGCGGAACCGTACACGTTCAGTTGGTTGTGAAAGGGGGCTATTTTTAGATGAGCACATTAGCTGGTTAAGCTAGTGGGAGCTTGCGCCATGGGGAAGGGCAAGTTAGCACCGGTTCCAGGCAATAGCTGGAAATTATAGCTTAAATTTAATTTTAAAAGTAGCTTAAATTTGGTCTAAGTGGCCTTAAAAAAGGTCTTAAAAAGTCTTAAATTTGGCTCCCTTAAACCTGCAGATACCCTGTTTTAGTGGAGAGGCCCAGTAAGTACACACGTGAGACGCTACGGGCATACAAATCATTAGATGCATACAACTATGTTGTCTGTGGCCATGTACAGAAAGTAAAATATCAGGACATAGACTCTGAGTTTTGCGTCTTGAAGGCAGAAGTCCTTCCTAGCCAAAGACAAGGACACAAGACTATGTTCGAGGCTTGGGTCATAGTAAACAAACCAGAGAACTACGTCTTCACAGCCAACTGTAGCTGCATGGCAGGGTGAGTATAGCATAGGTTTCTTTTTTTAGCGTGCTCAGAGTACAATCGTGTTAACTTTAGAGAAATACAGTTTATACTAATATGCAGTGGGAAAATACAGATGAATTAGAATGAAATGTTAATTTGAAGCATGAAATAAAGCGTATAAATTTATATGTAATCTTGGTACATAATTATCTTACCTGATATAAACTGGGCGCTACAAACTCGAGCATTTCGGATCGTGTTTTCAGTCCAGTTTTCATCAACCCTTTTGATGGCCTGCAGTCACAGACGCCTCCGATTTTGTTGAAATGGATGTGCTCCCTTCGGAATTCTGTAAAGTTTCAGTCCACTGCTTGAAGAGAAGCGATTCTGGCATCCATACACGCAACAACCCGACATTTTTATGTGCTCAGAACTTCAAAACAAAGGGTTTAAAGCGCTGTTTTAGTGTCGAGTGTGAATGAGGAAGCCTTCTCTCTCGTTGCCAGGCTGCGCGCGCAACTTTTGATGACGTAGGTAGCAAAAGGGTCTATTAGCTCGGTCTCGCTCTCATTAACATGAAGAAAGTTTGCTGCTAGCCACAGCGTGACCTCATCCAGGCTAGTCTGGAGTTTTTTAATAGGACCTGCTGGCTCAGGTGAAGACGAGTCTTATTTCCATATTTTCACCGTTAGATTAGCCTTAGCTTTAACTTAGCATAAAACACAGTAAGTGACTGGATCCAAATAGCTCTGTGAGTAAAGGCGTCTTTAAAGTCCCTCCATAGAAATCCCTGTTCTGTGTGTGGTGACCTAAAGAATCAGACTGCAAGTGAAAAGAACTGGTAACAGGAAGGAGTCGTAGGCACCATTTTAGACTATTTAGTTGTGACCACTTAAAAAACGTTACACGAGTTCATGCCACGTGAACCCAATCAAGGCTACGAACTAGTGGTTCCAGGGTTTAGAGCCACAGTGAAGCTTGTAGCCATGGAAACTAATAAGACTGCTTGTTTCCATGTGTTCAGGCGCTACAGCCTCACGTCCGGGTCTGGGACAGCGTCAGTCTGTCCACTCTGCAGGTCATCGGTTTGGGAACGTTCGAACGCGGCGTGGGATCTCTGGCTTTCTCCAAAGCTGTGAGTAAAAACTCCCAATGCATCATGGTTGTTATAGTCCAGGTATTTCTCACCCCCTCCCTGCATCTCAGGACTCGGGCCAGCACCTGAGTGTGATCGACGACTGCAACGATCACATGCTGACCATCTGGAATTGGCAGAAGAAGTCAAAGATTGCTGAAATCAAGGTGATTTTATGCTTGAACACGTTGACCATCTGATGCTGGAGCTGGCTCTAACTGGTCTGTGGTGTCATGACAGACCACTAACGAGGTGGTCCTGGCTGTGGAGTTCCACCCCACCGACCCGGACATCATCATCACCTGTGGGAAGTCCCACATATTCTTCTGGACTTGGAACGGGAACACACTGTGTCGAAAACAGGGAATCTTTGGGGTGAGATGACGTCCATCTGTCTCCATAGTGACTCGTTCGTGTTTGTTTGAAATGAAACTGAAAAGCAGCGGAACGTTCTAGAGCAGAAGCGTCTGAAGCCTCAGAGGCTCCCCACTTCTCCAGAGCCCGAGCAGTCGGACCATCGGGACGAGATCCTCCAGCTAGGTCTGACGAGGTTTAAGGAAAAAGCTACTGCTGACTGGGAAGACATTCTAGAAACTTCTCCTCTCAGCTCCGTTAGCTTTCAACCAAGTAGTGATGCGTCAGTCACAAACAAAACGGTTCTCTTGGAGGAGCCAGAGTGACACGGAGCGACTTGCAGACTGTGCCCGCAGGTCCCCGAGTTGCTAAAAACAGCTAAGTGTGTGCTTATGGCGGGCACACACACACACACATACACACGTAGCAGACCTCTGATTGCTGTGAGACTGAGGTGGGGGGGTGCAGTGCACCGCCGATCACAGTGACAGCGGGGAGAGGGGTGGTGTAAACATCTGAAGAGAGGAGCGCCACAGAGGGGTGAGGACGGGACAGGCAGCTAGATCTGGACACATCCTAACTCCAGCGAGGATTAAAAGGCAGAGTGTGGAATATGAGAACTGGGTAAATATGACCGACGGGCTCTAATAGTTCAAAGTTAGTTTTTGTCCTTTAAAACTTGTTTTCGCAGCTCTCCGTGGATTGTAGCTGTTGAACCTAGAAAGGCTTTTTGTAAAATGAACTTTGGAGCTTCAAGGGTTAATACGGTCTTTCTCAGCAGGCCTTTCACTTCTAAACATGTGCATTTATTATTTATGACTCACTTATTATAATTTATTATTATTTAATGTACACGAGTGGGCTCAAGGGAAACGTTTAATATGGAGATCTAATTTATATTGTGTGTTGTTGTTGTGTCAGTTCTAAATACCACACATGCCTGATCTGATCACACACACACACACACACACACACACACACACACACACACACACACACACACACACACACACACACACACACACACACACACACACACACACACACACACACACACACACACACACACACACACACACACACACACACACACAGCTGATCTGATCTCACACACACACACACACACACACACACACACACACCTGATCTCACACACACAAACACACACACACCTGATCTCACACACACAAACACACACACACACACACCTGATCTCACACACACACACACACACACACACACACACACACACACACACACGGCTGATCTGATCTCACACACACATGCGCGCGGCTGATCTGATCACACACACACACACACACACACACACACACACACACACACACACACACACACACACACACACACACACACACACACACACACACACACACACACACAGCTGATCTGATCTCACACACACACACACACACACACACACACACCTGATCTCACACACACAAACACACACACACACCTGATCTCACACACACAAACACACACACACACACGGCTGATCTGATCTCACACACACATGCGCGCGGCTGATCTGATCACATACACACACACACACATGCGCGCGGCTGATCTGATCTCACACACACACACACACACCTGATCTCACACACACAAACACACACACACACACGCGTGCGGCTGATCTGATCTCACACACACACGCGCGCGCGCGCGGCTGATCTGATCTCACACACACACACGCGCGCGGCTGATCTAATCACACACACACACACACACACACACACACACACACACACATACACACACACACACACACAGCTGATCTGATCTCACACACACACACACACACACACACACCTGATCTCACACACACAAACACACACACACACAGCTAATCTGATCTCACACACACACACACACACGCACGCGCGCGGCTGATCTGATCACACACACACACACACACACACACACACACACACACACACACACACACACACACACACACACACACACACACACACACACACACACACAGTGGTACAGGATCGGGCTGCTAGGATAGGAGATGTGAATGTAGACGTCAGGAACAAACATCCAGTCTGCCGTGGGATTCTGAGATGTCTCAAACTTCCTTTGCAGGTGTTGTTGTGGACATCCTTAATAATAATTTCTACTAGTAGCAACGTAGCTGTTCGTGTCTTCATTTGCAAGTTTGACTGATAAGGATACAGTTAGTGTTGGAAAAGTGTAATTGTTGCTCTATAAAATAAGAGTTACAGAGATGTCTGATTGCAGATTAAATGTTTAAACGGGTTGCCAAAGCTGGTGTTGATCACTGTGTCCATACAACAATGGGTTAAGATTTGTAATGAGCCAAGACATTCATGAGAACAGGAGAATGGACACCTATGACAGTCGAGAGGAGGCGTGAGGAAACCAGACACCATAGTGAAAGCAGCTTTTAGGTCGTTGGCACTCTGTTTCATCAGTGCCGTGGGGGGAGAAGGCATTGATTGTTACGCTATTCTGGGGTATGTCACCTGCTAGTTTTCACTACTACTTAAAACTAAAGTAGTAAAAACGGGATTTGAGGAAAAAGATCTGGAGCCAGATTTCCCGAGTCCAGATTTAAACAACATGAGGAATTTAAACCGGAAAGTGACAGGAAGCTCCACCTTTCTGAGAACAAAGGACTGGACTTGGACCAGTTCTTTAGACCCACCAGGTCCACACTGGTATACTGGTTCAAGTCCAACATGTCCTGGATCAGTTCTGATGTCAGACCTGCATCTGGTCCTGGTTCATGACTCTCATTCCCAACTGGATCTGGTTCTGGTCTAATCTGGTCCTTTTCTGTCAGCAGAAATATGAGAAGCCCAAGTTTGTCCAGTGTCTGGCCTTCCTGAGTACCGGAGACATCCTGGCTGGAGATTCTGCTGGAGACCTGCTGGTCTGGACCAGGAGCTCCTCAGACACCAACTCTGGAAAGGGTCTGAAAGGTGGGAGCCACAGACTGCTGTTTGTTGGAACTGGACTGGTTCTGACTGGGTCCGGTTGGATCACACTGCAGAAACGTTCTGGGTTAAGGTCTTGGGGGTCGGGTGGATCCTGAATCCGTTTTCATGTGTCTGTAATTCTGATCATTCCCTGTTCTGTCAGAACTTGTCCCACTGATCCGAGACCAGTTCTCCTGAGTGAGCTGAAACCACAGCTGGGAGGGATTTGGCCCAGTTTCACTGATGGTTTTAGTCTCATCTTGTTCAACAGGTTCTTCTGGATTTGGGCCAAAATAAAACGATATTTGCTTTTTCCACGGAGTCGGATAGCAGAAACTGGCTGAAAGCGCTCGTGTGTCAGAACAAAAGGACCTGTTCAGTTATGCAAAGCTCAGACCGCAGTTTAAACTAGACCAGAGGTCTTCATCTCCAGTCCTGTTGGTGTCATCCGTTAGATTAATGAGTGATTGACCTAAGGGTGGTGGAGAGGTGATTAAACCATGTAATCCAGGTGTTCTGGAGCAGGAAACATGCTACACCTGCAGGATGGCACAGCTACAACAAGCTCTAAATGTTGATTCAAACTGCAGCAAGTCTTCAGAAGAACCTGAGGCTTTTCCTTTATGGAACGCTGCCCCCTGCTGGTTACTGCAGGAACTGCACCCATCTTCGTTTGGTCTAAAAAGGTTAAAAAAACCCAAAAAAAAAACTTGTAATTTCATTTTATTTGTCAAACACGGTCAGAAGATATGCACAAAGTGTTTCACAATAAAATTAAAAACGACCAGAAAAGGGCCCAGATCGGGTAAAAAGCCTCTTTTAAGCATAAATGATTTACTGGCCAGAGGAGCCTTTAATCAGCTGATCCGGAAAGACGTGGCGTTCCGTAGGTTCTGGTTCTGGATGGTAAAGAGCTCTAAAGTCAGGACTAGTGCCGGTACCCAGCAGGTTTATCGGGGTCTTTATGCTGCTGACTTATAACTCTCCTGAGTGACTTGTGACTGGGATGAGGGGAAACTGGCAGTCCGGTGCCATACAAGAGAAGCTGTCCACCACAACGGTGATCCAAATGGACCTGATGAGTGAACAGCTGATGGTACAGAGCTCCTGAAGGTGGATACGCTCCTGCCTCCCCCTTCAGCTGCTGCTCCGTCTCATGAACCCGTTCCTCACCTCTGGGTCTTTGCTCGAGGCCAAGAAGATGACAGCAGAAAGAACTCCCCACAGATAACTGAACAGTAGTAGCAGGTGCCACCTGAAGAGTTAAAGTAACAAGTTATCAACGGAACATCAGCTGGTCGCTCCACCTGAAGGACATTTGATGCCACCATTTCTCAGGTTTCTAACAAGTAAAATTGGCAAATTTACAGTTGGTTTGGAAACTATTCAGACCCCCGTCAATTTTTCAACACTTGGTTATATTGCAGGTATTTGCTGAAATCAGTTAATTCACTCACACACACACCCATATTGACAGAAAAACACATATCACATGGTCTTAAGTATTCAGTCCCTTTGCTGTGACACTATTTAATTCAGGTGCTTTCCATTTCCTCTATTTAAAAGGGAGACTGCAGGGTGTGTTCCAACTACGGGGGGGATCATGCCCCTGAGCCTCCCTGGTAAGGTCCGTTCAGGGTTCTGGAGAGGAGGGTCGGATGGACTGTCGAACCTCGGAGTCAGGAGGAGCTATGTGGTTTTCGTCCTGGTCGTGGAACACTGGACCAGCTCTATACCCTTAGGGGGGGGGGGGGGGGGTCCTGGAGGGTGCGTGGGAATTTGTCCAACCAGTCTACGTGTGTTTTGTGGATTTGGAGAAAGCGTTTGACCGTGTCCCTCGGGGGGCCCTGTGGGGGGTACTCCGGGAGTATGGGGTACCAGGCCCTCTGATACGGGCTGTTGGGTCCCTGTATGACCGGTGTCAGAGCTTGGTCCGCATTGCCGGCAGTAAGTCGAGCTCGTTCCCGGTGAGAGTTGGACTCCGCCAAGGCTGCCCTTCGTCACCGATTCTGATCATAACTTTCATGGACAGGATTTCTAGGAGCAGCCAGGGTACTGAGGAGATCCGTTTTGGTGACCCGAGGATCAGGTCTCTATTTTTTGCAGATGATGTGGTCCTGTTGGCTTCATCCGAACGTGATTTCCAGCTCTCACTGGAGCGGTTTGCAGGCGAGTGTGAAGCAGCTGGGATGAGAATCAGTCCCTCTAAATCCGAGACCATGGTCTTGAGTCAGAAAAGGGTAGAATGCCTTCTCCGGGTCAGGGATGAGGCCCTGCCCCAAGTGGAGAAGATTAAGTATCTCGGGGTGTTTTTCATGAGTGAGGGGAAGATGGTGCATGAGATCTATAGGCAGATTAGTGCTGCCCATCTGGGAGGGGCTCATCATTATCAGCACCATGCTTTATTTATATATGTAGTTCCTCCACCCTCAAAGGGGGCCCAAGGTGCCGAACGGGAAAAGTTACAAAGATAAAAAGTGGTAGCAAGTCATAAAAACAAAATTAAGAACATAGCCGTTACAGAGAACAATAAAATGCAAATGAAACAAAATTTCGATTAAAAATATTAAAATTAAGTTGTTAAAAGAAATCAAACCCAAGAATAAAAACCAGAAACCAAAAGCATTAGGAGAAAGGCGTCCTATAAAAATGAGTCTTCAACCTGCTGCCAGTGATGGGGACCGTTTGATTGTCTCAGTCAAACATTGGCTCCTCCACGTCGGGAGAAGCCAGTTGAGGTAGCTCGGGCATCTGGTCAGGACGCCTCCTCCTGGTGAGGTTTTCTGGGCACGTCCAACTGAGAGCAGACCCAACGGAGACCCAGGACACTCTGGAGGGATTTTGTCCCTCGGCTGGCCAGGGAACACCTTGGGATTCCCCCGGAGGAGAAGAAGAAGAGAAGATCTTTTCCATAGCGCCTCAAGATAAAAATCACGAGGCGCTTCACAAAAACTAAACATGTAAAAATATAAAAAAGAATTTAGAAAATGATTAAAATATATTTAAATGAGCAAAAAAAATAAACTATTATGATTAAACAATGTAAAGAAAGAAAGAGAGAGTGAATAGGAAAGAGGGAAATCAGTGGATCCTGAGTTGGCCCAAGTGGCTGGGGAGAGGGAAGTCTGGGCCTCTACGTAGGCTGCTGCCCCCGCGACCCAACCCCGGATAAGCGGCTGAAAGTGGATGGATGCTTTCCATTTCTTCTGATCATCCTTGAGATGGTCCTACACCTTCATTGGAGTCCAGCTGTGTTCGATTCTACTGATTGGACCTGATTAAGAAAGCCACGCTCCTGTCTATATAAGATCTTACAGCTCACAATGCATGTCAGAGCAAAGGAGATCCATGAGGTCAAAGGAACAGCCTGAAGAGCTCAGAGGCAGAATTGTGGCAAGTCACTGATCTGGCCAAGGTTATAAAAAAACATCTCTGCTGCACTTAAGGTTCCTAAGCGCCCAGTGGCCTCCATAATCCTTAAATGGAAGATGTTTGTGATGACCAGAACTCTCCCTAGAGCAGGCTGTCTGGCCAAACTGAGATATGGGGGGAGAAGATCCTTGGTGAGAGGGGTAAAGAAGAACCCAAAGATCACTGAGGCTGAGCTCTAGAGATGCAGTCAGGAGATGGAAGAAAGTTGTAGAAGGTCAACCATCACTGCAGCCCTCTACTAGTCAGGGCTTTATGGCAGTGTGGCCTGTGGGAAGCCTCAGTGCAAGACACATGAAAGCTCTCATGGAGTTTGCTAAATGACACCTGAAGGTCCCTGAGATGGTAAGAAATAAGATTCTCTGGTCTGAGGAGACCAAGATGGAACTTTCTGGCCTTAATTCTATGCGGTATGTGTGGAGAAAACCAGAGAATGCTCATCACTTGTCCAATACAGTCCCCACAGTGAAGCATGGTGGTGGCAGCATCATGCTGTGGGGGTATTTTTCAGCTGCAGGGTCAGGATGACTGGCTGCAATTAAGGGAACGATGAATGCGGCCAAGATTCAGAATCAACTTTATTGTCAGTGTCCTGAAGCATAGAAATTTGTCCCCGCAGTCCAGCCTGTCCAAGGTTACACACACAAACATGTAGAACAAAAACGGGTACAGGCAGACCACGAGAGCCGCCATCAAGACGCTCATTACACTACAGGCATATCCTGGACAAGAGAGCTCAGGACCTCAGACTGGGTCGAAGGTTTACCGTCCAACATGACAACGACCCTAACCTTAACCCAAGTGAGCATCTCTGAAGAGACCTAAAATGGCCATCCACCTGTGTTCACCATCCTACCTGACAGAACTGGAGAGGATCTACAAAGAGGAATAGCAGAAGATCCTCAAGTCCAGGTGTAAGAAACTTGTTGCATCTTTACCGAGAAGACTCATGGCTGTGTTAGCTCAGAGGTGCTTCTACTAAATACTGGGCAGAGGGTCTGAATACTTAGGACCATGTGATGTTTCTGTTTTCCCTTTTTTTTAGTAAATCTGCACAAATTTCAAACATTCAGCGTTTATATGTCAATATGGGTGATGTGTGTATGTTAATGTGGAAAAGACGAATGGCTGCAACGTAACGGAGTAAAACACAGACAAGGCTCTGAATGCTTTCTGTACCCGCTGTATCTGTAATCTGTCACCCACTATAAGTGGACACCTGGTCAGCTGCACTTTGGCTTGCCTCCTGAAGGTCACCTGTGTTTGTGTTCTCAGCCTTTCACATCAGTCGTCAGGTCAGAGGTCATCAGGGAAGTGTCTTCTGTATGTGTGAGATGAGAAGCGGCACTTTGCTGACTGGAGGAGGGAAGGATAGAAAGATCATTCTGTGGGACCATGAACTGAGAATGGACCGAGACATTGAGGTGATGTCCACGCACACACACACACACACACACACACACACACACACGTCTGTCATCCATCTGAACAGAACTCCAAAGTATTGATCCATCAGATCTTTGTTCATCTACAGGTTCCCGGCCAGTACGGGACCATCAGAGCGCTGTCTGAGGGAAAGGGGGAAGAGTTTCTGGTCGGTACCTCTCGTAATTTCATCCTGAGAGGGACGTTCAACGATGGCTTTATGATGGAGGTGCAGGTGAGATTTCATGACCTCATGATGCTACAAGAAACAAACAGGTGACCCTTTAGACCAGGGCCGAAATGAAAAGCTGGGGCAAAGTTAAAAAACGTTTACTTAAAAATCGACATCAACTGTGCACGTATTCTTTTTCTTCCAGATATGTAATTTTGAACCATTTTATTTAAAAATACAATCTTTAGTTTAGCATAAGTGTATCTAGTGCATGGGTCTCCAACATGCCGCTCCCAAGCTACAGGTAGCTCGCAACGCACTTAAAGCAGCAGCTGCAGATGGTTGAAGACTTGCTGCTAAAGATGATGGAGTGACGCCGGATATACAGACCTGGTTTCAGAAAAACATCCTCAGTAAAATAATGTGGGTGACAGTAACGTCCAATTTACTTTAATAGTTATGAGTAATAACTTACGAGTCTGCTGCACGCCCCAGAGAGCAAAAACAAACCAGAGGGAGAAACCATCGGCCAATGCAGAGAGAAGCAGCGGGGGAGCAGCTTGTGAGTTAACCATGCTAGCTTAAACTCGTGTGCTGGCATCACAATAAAGTACAGATTACCATCATGTACCAGACAATTAAAATAGTATCGGTCAGTTAATATAATATTAATAATAATGAGTGTCTGTCAGCGGTCTCATACTCGTTAAAATCTGTTCACCTAACAGAGTTTAGCGCTTAGAGTGAGGGAGAGAGACGCCTGTCATCCGGTTCTGGAGCTCATGCGGGCTTCTGTGAGCTGGATCCGACCCAGACACCAAAAGTTTGCCCCCTCACATATACTAATGTAGCACAAACAGAACATTAATATCACCAACCATTCCCATTTTATTACCGTGTATCCATATAAATGGCGCACCCTGTATAGTTTATCAACTTGAACACAATCCAAACAATCCAACACTAGTGAACACACACACACACTGACTGGATAACATGACAGGGTATCCGCGAGTCCTTAAAAAGTCTTAAATTAGCTTTTCCAAATTTAAGGTCTTAAAAATCCTTAAAAATGACTAATAATCCTTAAATACAGCTTTCAAATGTCTTAAATTACCAAAGACCTAATAAACAAGATTATTTTATTTCTATAAAATTTTCCTGAATTTCTAGTTAGCGTTCAGCTTTTTTGTGTACGATGTTGGCAAAAGCGGAATCGTACACATTCAGTTGGTTGTGAAAGGGGGCTTTTTAGATAAGCACGTTAGCTGGTTAAGCTAGTGGGAGCTTGCGCCATGGGGAAGTGCAAGTTTAATGGTAACTGGATGGCTAATCCTACGTTGGCGACATAGGTTAGCACCGGTTCCAGGCAATAGCTGGAAATTATAGCTTAAATTTAATTTTAAAAATAGCTTAAATTTGGTCAAATTGGCCTTAAAAAAGGTCTTAAAAAGTCTTAAATTTGGCTCCCGTAAACCTGCAGATACCCTGCATGACCTCCCTACCCTAAAACTAGCCACTCTCCACACTGAGCTGAGGCGGCGCCTAGCTTCTAGCTCCCTTTGGTTACGTCAGAGGTTCCGATTTAGAAACAAGAGAAAGACCACTTTTACTAGAAAACTGCTGTTATGTATTTTAAAACCAAACATCTAAAAGAATTTTTTCTAATAGAATTTTTGAACAGAATTTTATATGAATTGGGAAAAAAAATCACCTGCAATTAGCTCTTTAAACACCGTTCGTTTCTGAACACATGACGAACACAGGCTTCAAACTCTGGACATCTCCTGTGATTTAGTTTCAACACACGTCCCTCAACAGTTTCAGATGATCGTCTCATTTAGTAATAAAACACGATTTATTGTCTCTGCTTTGTGTTGCTCAGCCGTCAGACCCATGGATCAGCTGCTCCAGAGGCAGAGAATAAAGGATAAACCTCCAACCTTGTTTTAATATTTTTAATAAAAAATGCAGCAAAACATAATTTTACCTGCAGTTATTGAAGCCAAACATAAATTTATGAGCAAAAATCCCCATAAAATTTATTCAATAAACCAGGAAAGCAGGAAAAATGTTATTTTAGTTTTTACATTTTTTACTAAGAATATTTAGAATTTAGTGCTTTCATCACTTTTAGCTTGTATTTTATTTAAATTGTCTCCATCTTATGAGACTTTCTGTTTTTGCCTGTTTGGAGAAATAATCAACACAACTTACTTACTTGAAAGGTTTTGTATTAAAAGCTATTTTAAAAGGCATTCAATAGTTTTTGTGACATTTTTTGTTCATTAATGACAAAATATCTGAACACTATGAAAAAGTGACACAGCTGCTTAGGCTCTGGGCAGGTCACAGGGTCAGGGACTGAACAGGAACAGCTTAGCTGCTCCTGTGTGCTCAGTTCTGTTACTGATCTAGTCTAAACATGTAGAAGTCGACTTGTATTTCATTATCTGAAAGTGTCAGATCACTAAACAAAATGTGCTGTTGAGTTAGATTTTCAGAATGTCACCATTTTCCTGAGACTGAACCAAGTTCTGTTTAATGCAGGAAATAATAAAAATAAAAATAAATCCTAAACTTCCAATAATATCTGAGATGTTTGTTCGATTCTTGCTGATAACACCAGCTGGATGCTGTGGGCTGGATGATGGATCTCCTTCACTGACCAGCTAAATACCCACCTGTCCACTAACCTGTCCTGTGGGACTTTTATCTTCTCCTCATGTCCATGCTGTCTCTGGAGGAGCAGATGGGGAAACAAGATCTCCTGTAACCTAAAATCAACCAAAGCTTTCTCCCAATTTTTCATTAAGTTGAATTTAACATCAGTTTATCATCGTGAAACAAAATGGCCTGTATTTGATGTAGCGACTTCCAGAGACCTGGAACCCCCCAAGGCACTCTACAACACAATCAGCCATTGACACACTGGTGGTGATGAGCTATGTTGTAGCTACAGCTGCCCTGGGGTGCACTGACAGAAGCTAGGCTGCCAAACACAGGCGCCACCGGTCCCTCCGACCACCACCAGCAGGCAAGGTGGGTTAAGTGTCGTGCCCAAGGACACAATGACAGCGACAGACTGAGTGGGGCTCAAACCTGCAACCTTCTGATTACCGGGCGAGCACTTAACTCCTGTGTGTTGGGTATTTTTATTTATTTAATCCAGGCGTACCTCAAAGAAAGTCCAAAACACACAAGGGAGGTTAGAGATAATATTGTTGTTATTAAAACCATTTACCAATAAACACAAATAATCAATAATCAGAATTTGCAAAACCGGGAGAGACTAAAGAACCACACACACAACGGGAGGGCGGTTTAGTCTCCCAACAAGCAGAAGCTCATCAAAAGGTTTTACTCACAGATGACGAGGCACACACACATTGAAAGTTGACCCAACCTCCTCCTTCACAGCCCAGATTCAGAGAAGCTTTGTTGTGATAACACGACTGCAGGCTTACAAGGTCGACTTTTCCTTCTAGCAGGAGCAAAACAACACCAGATGTTTTCCCAGACAAAATCATCATTTATGCATCCAATTATTTACCTTTATAAATGTGGATAAGGTTAATGAACTCTGTTTGACAGAATAACATTATTTTTATCCAACATTGTGCCACCATCGCCCCAAAAGCATAAAGTGGAACAAAAACTTCTGTCTTCTATTTCTCTCCTTTTAACTTCTCCGTGTCTCTAAATAAAAGACAACTGACTACGCTGCAGCACAAAAGTGTTCCACTATAATGGATTATGGCGAACCCTTTAGCGGTGCAGAATCGTTTATGTCCACATCTTGATGCATCCATTATTAGATGATTTTCCTCAGCTCTAGTATTTGTTTCATATTGTCTGTCTCGTCTGTCTTTAGCCTTTTGAGTTCCTTTTCACTGTGAATCGTGAACTATGCACACCCCTACGTAAACTTTTAACATAGTCTTAACAAGCATCACTTATGCATGGCATGAAACAACACACAAACTCAACCGGATAACGCCGTTTAAAGGCACACTGGGCAGTTTTGGCTTGCGAGAAGCTGGCAGCACTGACTCACACTTTTCTTCCATTGAGACTCTGAAGACCATTGCTTTTTGTCCACAGGTTTAATAATTTAGAAAGACATCTATAACACTAATACGATTACATTTTTGATAAGCTTCCTTACACTGTATCTGCAACTAAACATAACCTCAGTAGCCCGTATTTCACATTTAGAAGCAAGAATAACGGTGACTTAACTCAAAGCTTCAACAGTTAAAAAGGTTCCAGAATAAACTTCCTTGGCGTTACAAAATATTATCATAGAAGTTGAGAGAAGTACAAATAAAGAATATACATACAGACATCAAACCTCATGTAAATATCCACAAATGTCGTACTTCCTGTGATGTCACTCCATGCCCCACCTCTTGGGGGCGCTAAATATACAGATGCCTCAACATTAACAGCACAGTCATTTTACACAGGCTCAAGAAAATTATTTTAAAAGTTGCATAAACATTATAAAACATAATGGGACTTACTTGTTGACTCATAAAACACTCACGGGATAATAATGATGGTCATTTTTCAGCAGGTTGCAGTGTAGGAGCACACAGCGAGCAGCCACAGCTACCGCCAGCTCTAGCAAAAGGTGCATTCAGGGACACTGAAATACGGCAGTTTACATAAAGACTTTCAGACAGGATCGATTCTTTGAATTGAGTGTTTATAAGTAAGAATCACGATTTGGATGTCAATGGGTTTAATCAGGCACCTCTAGAGCTTTGTAGTTCAGAGAATTGGTTTGCACAAGTCATTTTTTAAGTTTTAGTAAGAATTGGGACCAAAGTTTAATGGATGAGGCCCCAGGTGATTAGGACACGATCAGATGTTCAGGGTGTCGCTATATCTGTTATGCATTCAGGGACACACAGATGAGCTGTGGGGCTTGGCCACTCATCCGTCCAAAGATCTGTTCCTGACATGTGCTCAGGACCGACTGGTCTACCTGTGGAACTCTGTGGATCACAGCCTGCTGTGGAGTCGGTCTCTGGAGGTGAGTTCAGGAGCTCTCTGGTCTATGACGGATGGCTGACTGGTTGACTGAAATCAGCTGTTTGTCTCTCAGGAACATGGGCATTGTGCAGACTTCCATCCGAGTGGTGCTGTGGTCGTCATAGGAACACACTCGGGAAGGTCAGTGACATTTGTTGGTATCTCTGACAGAGTCAGGCCTGCTGCTGACCTAACTCAGGCCAAAAGTAAACCCTGGTCTAAGGTTAGGTCTAAACTAGGGATGTTCTGATCACATATATTTGCTCCAATCCGAGTCGTTTGACTTTGAGTATCGAGTCCCCATCCAATACTTCAGCTAAGCATTAAAATATAAAAAGGAAAACACATCCAAGCTGTCCTTTTTTATTATTATTGTCATTTATGACAGTGATGTCCGATATTATCGGCTAATACTGGAACATGTTGTTGGTGTCGGTTTTTACTCCTTATGTGACCCAACTTTTACATACCATGCACGTATTACACAAACTCTTCAGCTTCATCTCCTTTGTCTAAATGCCAGAATATGATAGATCTGAGATTTAGTTTTTGGGGTATTTTTGTTTTATTTGGCGCAGCTTGTGAATAATTCGGACTTTGCCCTGTGTAGCGAGGATCTGCTGTCCTAAAAGCATGTAGCCATGTTTAGCTTAAATGAAGATCTTTGTAAATGTTTTAGCACCGTAACTGCAATATACAGAAAAATACATTACTATTACACATGTCTTAGCGTCACACTTAGCCTTACTTAGCATGCATAAGCCTTACTTGGCATGTGTATGCTCACGCTGCTTATATCTTATCACCTCAGTCATTTTAACACACGTCCAAACATTTCCTAAACAGTCTATACTTAAAAAGGCAAATGCCAAGGCACGGATGTGTAAAGCTAAATCTGCGTGTTCGTGATCCCTTTATTCCCTCTTTTGCCTAAACATATGATGCAAACACGCTGGGAGCCGAGGAAAGCGAAACTACGTCAGTGATAGGTCTCAGTAAAGAGTGCTCACTCTGTCATGTTTCACACAGACAGTATAACAAAGATTGTAACAGTGATGTCTCACTTGGATCCGTTTTCAAAACCTAAAATATTTAAACTTTTTAATCATTAATTCTCCTGTACCGTTTATTAACTTATTCATCAAACTTTTACCCATCATGAACGTTCTACTTACCTGAAGTCCCATAGTTGGTCAGGACTATCTCAAGGAGAATGTCATTCAGCTGCTGTTGGAGACAGATTAAAACAAGACATTTTATTTCTACTACTAACTTAAATTGAAGAGGTTGTAATTTTGCTCTGATAAGCTTAAGCATTCATGTTGGGAGATATGTGATGTTAGCAACCTTAATGCTTATTTTTCTCCTTTGTGTACCCCACATATTTTGGTATCAGTTTATATTAGTATTGGAAATTAAGAGTTAGACAATATTGGATATTAGAGATGTCTCGTTCCGATATCAGAAGTAATTCGATATCGGCCCAAAAACACAGTATTGGATTATATCGGACGGCATCAAAAATCTCCGATATAAGCAGTCTGTTAAGGTTCACATGTTTGCAACCAATGATTAAGAAAGAAATGTCATTTTTTTCATACTTACTTTTATTGGCTCTTCTCCAATTGAGGGATATCACTCGATCAAGCCTTTCATTACTATGAAATAGGTGGTACAAGTATGTAAGATTTGTGCTGATATCGTATCAGATCGATATCGGTATCAGTCAGTACTGAAGGCTGCAATATCGGTATCGTATTGGAAGAGAAAAAGTTGTACCAGGACATCCCTATTGGATATCGGTAAAAAACCTTATCAGTTTATCTGCCAAAAATCATCAGTTGTTCGAAAATACACTGATAGGAAATGTGTAAATATTACAAATATATGATAAAGTAGCTTTGTCGCTCATATTTAGAATATTTTTAACAGTGTGTGGTTGAATTGAGTGAGGTGCATTCATGCATTAATGAAATTTTAGTGGTTTACCAACCAACGCCGGTTATTTGGTTCCAAGGTGCCGTTTTAGAATGGATGGCTTCAGTGCTTCATTCAACAGTTTTAGTCCACACTCTGGGCTCTTGGCTCTGCCTCGCTCCCTCCATTTATAAATTTGTATTTAATGAAGTCAGGGTTGTACCTGTGCACACATTTAGCCTTTTGTGGAGAACTGCCACCACTGTCGCCTCTTTCTTTTCAAAAACTTCTCAGTTTTTTTTTTGTTTTTTTTTACACACTGAACAAACAATATTCCTGACAATTACATTCACGCACTGTGGTCCTGTCCACCTGTCCAGGAATTTTGGGGTAGAGTGTGTGAAGACCTGTCAAAGTGTCTGAAATGTCATATCCCAACCACCCCCTCTCTTTGTTTACTGGGAAACCTGGACGATGTCCCGATTGAAACATCTTTGGCTCACGTGGTTCTGACTGCCATATGCATCGCTAAGAAAACTATCCTCTTGAATTGGAAAAATAGAGATACTCTTTGCATCAACCAATATAGAAATCTTTTGTTAGAACGTATTACACTTGATTTAGCCTCTGCTTCCACTTCAAACCAATCTCTCTGGGCTCCTTTGATTGGTTCCATCACATAGCGATGACGGGGGACCATTGATATTGTCCTGTGGGATGATGTGGGTGAGGGGGTGGAGGGTCGGAGTTTAGAGTATCCGGACGTTCCCTGGAGGTGGATTCACTGGGGGTGTCTGGGACTGGGGGGCCGTTGCCCCCCTCTGGAGGTGCTTGGGTTGCCTCAGGGGGTGGGCTACTGGTGGTTGTGAGTGGGGCCCCTTGGAGGTCTTGGCGGTGGCCATGGGTCACTGCCCGCAGCTGCATTGCCCCTGGGCGGGTCTGGGTGGGGGCCTGGGGGCTCGGGGTGTGGGGGTGGCTGGCCCCGTGGGGAGATCTGGGCAGGGCCTTGGGGGTCAGGTCCTGACATGTATGCTGCCGGGGAGAAGGCAGGAACATGCAGCAGTGCCTGACTCAGGTTCAGGGGCCTCAGGTAGACCTTGGCTCCTCTGCTGTCTCATCACAGGGGAGGGGGAAGTCTAGGAGGGGGAGGACCCAACCTTACCTGGATGTCCTATGTCTTTTATAATCTGGAAGTATTGCAAATGCAGGGATGGGTGTAGATATTCTGCTGGGGTGGGGCTGGGTTGGTGCCCTTGGACCCTGTGAGGCTCTGTGATGCTGCTTCTTTGGGACCTGGCAGGATGGGCTGGGGTCTCCATGCTCTGGGTGGCATTTTGACAACAGAGGTGCCTATTGGGGCCAGTGGGGGAGCTGGCTCCCTGGAGGGCTTAGTCCAACCCGCCATTCCTCCCCATCCCCACACATTTCTCTGCTCCTGCTCCCTCACATCATCACACAATCATGCACATAGGACCTTGGGGTGTGGACAAGTCAGGGAGTGCAGGTATGGACCCCATTTCCGCATTCCTGTGGCAGCCTGCCCCCCAATTTTATTTACACCTTGAACACTTCCTCCAGCGACATTCCATGCAAACACACACTTGGGGCCTTGGGAGTGAGCACATTCAACGGCATTTGGCAGGGGGATTTCTCAGCCTCATCCCAAGTGCCGGTGCCCTCTTTCAATTTTAAACTGCACTGAGACACTGTGGGTGCAAGTGGGGTGGTGTGTGGTGGCATCAGCTGGCATAGGCCAGACGATGCCCGCACTGCCCGCTCACCACAGCCATGGAATACACCTCATCATCACTCACTAACACCATATTGAAGCAGGCGGAGGGAGACTAGGGGTCTTAGCATACCTCTGTTGTCGCTTGGCTTCCTGGGGCTGGAGGCTAGGAGGGAGATCCGGCCATCCGGTTGGGGTCTGGGGTGGTGGGTTACTGTGCTCAGAGTTGGGCGGGGGAGCCTGCTCATCAGCACCCAAGCAGAAAGGGTCGAAGTCTGGGAACCGGTAATGGTTGTACCCAATGTGCAACAGTACCGGGACCAGAGTGAATAGGGTGTTTATGTTTATGTTTATTCATTTAGGAGACGCTTTTATCCAAAGCGACTTACAAAAGGGTGTGTATGGGGAGCATGAGTGGGTGTCCGGCATGCATTTTTGTAAGTCTTTGGTTGTATGTGCATGTGTGAGCATGAGGGAGTGAGTGTGTGACTGTGTTTGTGTATGACTGTAAATGTCAGGTGGGGCCTTGGACTCCTCCCCTCTCCTGGGACTTCTTTTGATGATACAGATCTTCGTCTCCCCTCTCCCTGCCACACCTGGTGTGGAGTGCGGTGCCTGGGTTGTGGCTCCCGTATCAGGGAGTTTAAGATTTTTGGCATCTGCCTGACCAATCCCGGTGGCTGCCTGGTGGGGTCTGGGTCCCTGGGCTCTGCTGGGTCCCCGGCGAGAGTGGACGCCCCTGGGTCCCGGGTCGCTGGGTCCTGGGCTCGGCCGGCTAGGGGGTGGGAGGCTGCGGGCGGGCCTGTGGGCTTGCCGCCAATATCTCCCGGGACTCTGCCGGCTACGGGTTGTGGCCCCCCGGGGCGATCCTCTGCGCCTCTCAAGGGGGGCAGGGGCTTCTCTGGTCGCAGTCTCCCTGGGGTTCCTGTGCTCTGGGGCAGCTCCTGGATCTCTGGGACTTGGAGCTCCCTCCGTCTCCTGCACATCTTTAGGGGGCAAATCTGTGGCCCCTCACACTCTCTATTGGACGCTCCTATAGAGAAACCTTACATAAACAAGCGTGTGTACACACACAGGTGCTCACATGGTGCTCTCATAAATATGGGCTTGGGCACATTCAACACATGTCTCAAGGTTGTGGTTGGCACTTAATGCACTGATTTATTATCGTGTGACTGTTCAGTTAAACAATGTTGATTATATATTTCTTCATCAAGTTGACGCTGTGATAGCTTGATCTTGTTGTATTGTTTTGTCCCTTTATTTTTGTTTTTTTGTTTTATTTTTTTCCCTTCTCTCTTTCTGCAGGTCTAGAAGCAGACTCTTGTTCATTATTGTTTATTTTTGTGGAACACCCCCTCCCCCCACCTTTTGTCTCTTCCTTTCTCTTTCACCTCTGTCACCGTGTCTGGTCAGAATTAAAAAGCATTCAAAAATAATAACAATAAAGTTTGAAGAATCAGGCGTGACATTAGAAGCAGACGCTTTGATGCTCCACCTGAGAGTAAATCCTATGGTTGTCACGGTAACCGGTGTAGCGGTAAACCCCGATAAAAAAGTTGACAATGATGATAACCGTCTTGTTTTTTAAAAAACTATATTATCTCGGTGGATTACCGTGGATTACCGTGGCGCGGTGACCCTTACCAGCCACCGTATCATCTGCTTAAGTTGCTGGTGGCACATGCGCGCTTTGTTGTTTACAACCACAACTTTCTTGAAGCTAAAGCTGAAATAATGGCCAAAGGAGGAGACGGCAGCGCTCAGGACATTTTTTTATCCCTCAAAGAAGACAAAGTGGGAAGTACGGGCATCTTTTGGATATTTGAAGAATGCCGAGGGACAGTCGATAGAAGACGGCTATCCTGTTTGCAGCACGTGCAGAAAAAGTGTCTGTGAAAGGCTGCAATGCGTCAAATCTCATGACACATCTGCTTGACCATCACCCACAACTCTACAGTCAACGCAAGGCAAGCTAACGTTAGCGTTTTAGCTCAAATGCGTGATCCGAGGATTTGGGTTGAGGGAGAATGCAACGAGACGAGTCGCTATATAAAGCAGCCGCAGCGCCGCTACCTGCATGTAAACCGTGTCGCGGACACCGCCATGTTGAAATGACGCTATGTATTACGGGGCTCCCAGGGGCAGATAAGAGTTGGTCTCTCTCCAAGAATAATTATAAATTTATGACATTTTCCCAAATCTGCAAAGCTCACTGGAAGGACACAAACCGAGGACAATATTTTCCTGACATACAGGGTTTATTTAATTGTGTGAAAATGTAGCACGTTTAAAAAAAATACCGCGATAAAACCGAAAACCGTGGTAATGTTGGTCACAATAACCGTGAGGTTAAATTTTCACACCGTGACAACCCTACTTGTCACCAGCATTCAGGCATCAATGCTGTTTGCTTCACAGCCAGACAGGACACGGGGGAAAAAAAAAACTTCTCCGTTGTTAACGTGCCAACAGTCGAGAGCGGCTGGCTGATGTCCAACACACAAGATATGAATGTCTTCTTTTGGTTGTTTAAGCTTGTTAAACAACTGAGTAGCGCATTACCGCACCCATGTGGTCAAATTATGTATTGAAATCTCTGTGCAAAATATAAATAATTTGGCAGCCCACAAGGTGGTGCTCGCAGTCCACTGGTCAAGAACGACTGCACTAAAACATGCTGGAGGACCGGAACTGAATACCCCGTCATCAGGATGTTGTTGTCTATGCAACAATAACTGTTGATGTTAAAATTAAAACTAAGCTACTGTCATTATGTCTGAAAATCGCATTCTCAGGATGAATTTAAAAGACCATCCTTGTGTTCTGATGAGGTTAAGTCTGAGCTTTTTCTGCCAATTATAATCATTTGAAAAATCTTGTGTTCAGGTCTGATTTTTGAACACAAAGAATTCGGCGCCTCCTCGTCTGAACTACTCTCTGAGAATGAGGACTTAAGTCCTTGCTGCCTTCTTGAGTCTGAATACATTAGAGTTACATTTATTAGAACAAACCGGTCGATTTTTTGTAGATGGAATCTCGGGTGAACTCTGGATGAGCTGCTCAGACCCCGTTAGGGTTGGTTCAACCAATAGGATCTGTTCCTACAGCAGAGATCAGCAGGGTTCTTGTGGTAGTCCAGGTGGACCATAAACCCACCCACCGACTAATGCCTCTCTGGTCTGCAGGTGGTTTGTTCTGGATGCTGAAACCACAGACCTGGTGGGAATCCACACCGATGGAAACGAGCAGCTGTCGGTCATGCGCTTTTCAGTTGGTGGGTGGAGTCATCTTAATGTTTAGAAGCTGAAAGTGGCTGACTACAGTCCAAGCTCTCCTCTCTCTGTGTGCCTGTGCAGATGGCAGCATGCTGGCAGTTGGGTCTCACGATAACTTCATTTACCTCTACAACGTCTCCGAGCGAGGACGGAAGTACAGCCGGAGGGGGAAGTGCACGGTGAGTTACACCCCACAGGAGGTATGCGTTAGCTAAGGGAACATAATATCAGGGTTCCCATGGGGCCTTAAAAGGTCTTAAAAGCATTGAATTTAGGAATTTGGAAATAATACCTTTAAAAAGTCTTGACTTTTCACTGCTGGGTCTTAAAATATGTGGTATGTAAATTCTCTGTACTGTATTTGTCCTCTAAACTTTTATTTGTCAACCACAATCATTTTTATTAAATAACATAGTAGGAATAAAGAGTGGCGGAATCAATAATGGAGAACGCAGCGCAGCCTCCGGTCAAAGTACTCCGAACACGTGACGTGATTCTCCCGCGCTATAGCAGTAATACTAAACGGTAAACATAACACAGAACATACAGCCCTTCAGCAGAGGAGAAACATGGAAGATCTCAGTAGACGATGGGAAAGCTTGACGGACGCCTAGGGCTGGGTGCCAGAACCCTTAAATTGGGAATGATGAAAATGCTAAAAAACTGAAACTGAAATGTTTGGGTGAATTTTGCAAAAGTTAGCAGCAGCTAAATGCAAGACCAGTGAGAAGAATAGTGCAGCAAAACTCAGGAATAGCAGCAATTTAACAAAGCACATCGTTGTGCAGGGCATCATCTAGAAACATGGAACGTTTTTGACTGCAAAAAAGGACGAATGCTGATAAAAGCAGAAACAGGACGTAAAACCCACTTAGCTGCTGTTTAGCAGCTTTATAAATGCTGTTCAGCTGGTTATTACTGCTGTTACTGACATGAAGTCAAGCTTTAATGGAGCAATTTTATACATTTATTTACATTTTGTGCCTTTTAGGGCTGCAACAACGAATCGATAAAAATCGATTATTAAAAGTGTTGGCAACGAATTGCGTCATCGACTCGTTGTGCCGCACAACTTTCCCCCATCCGATTCATCGATTATCCAAATAATCGTTTGTTGCAGCCCTAGTGCCTTTACTGTTTGCACTGTGCTGTTGCTCTGTGTTTGCTTAGAAAAATGTTTTAATAAAGTTTAATAAAAATAAATATAATATAAGAACAAAACCTTTAAGTAGTTTGTTATTTCTCTTAAAATTAAAAATATAGATTTCAACAAAAGTATCTTTTGAGGTACCACCATCCTCAAAGTAGGAGTATCAAGAAATACCTCCTGGTACCCAGCCCTACTGACGCTGTTAAACGTGTGTTTTACGTTAGCTAGCTACCCTTTCTGTGAAAGCTCTAGCCGCTCTGCTGCTGTTCTCTACCAAGTACCAAGGGTCTTACAAAGTCTTGGAATTTAACTTGATGAAACCTGTAAGAACCCTGATGATGTAAAACTCATCTTTTTCATCTATTTGGACTGACGTGTGGGTTTCAGCTGTCTCTATACCACCCCAGTCAGATTGATTCTTCAGTATGCCCACTGTAAATGGAAAGAAAAGGTTATCAAGTCTCTAGGGTCGTGCAAAGATGATTATCACCAAATAATTTTAATGCTAGCAGAATGTGGAACGGATGCAGTCTGGTTTCTGTATGGCTATCAGAGCGTTCGCACCGGTGTGGATGCTGATGTGGAGCTCTGGAAAGTTTCTGCATGGCATATATGTTTTCCAGACATCGCATGCTGACTTGTCATCAAGTTAAAGAAATCACATGAACCAGACAAGAAATTAGATTAGTTTCAGTGATTTCAAAACAAAAGCTGTATTCCATTATTTTTGCCAGCCTTTGACAGGGATATTGGTTTGCGGTTTATAATAGTTCACCTTAATTTTACAGGTATATCTTTTAACGAATTGTGTTAAATTTCTAATGATGTGCAGAACACAAACTACAGTCTGTGTGGAAGTCGTATGGAAACCGTTCCACACTCTGTTACCTCTAATTCACATAGTCTACTGCAGGGCTATTAAACTTCGGGCCTTGAGGGCCAGTATGCAGCACGTTCCCTTTCAGTCGGTTCACTCAATACAATAAAGGTACCATGGGACATCACACCCTTGTGTGGCCTGGCTGAAGACACATAAAATCACGCCTGTAAAGGCAAATACTGTACATGTGGCACCGAGCGGTGGCCCCGCCCTTCAGCGGGTGAAATGGCCATGTTCCTTTGCCATTCAACCCCATCAGTCCTAAGGGACTTTGTCGTCTGCCCCAGGTGGGTGAAAGTTGCACTGGTTCTACGGTTTTGCACAATGTTTCAATAAAACTGCTATTTGCACTCAAAAGAATGTCAATTTGACGTGTCTGAACGCTGCATTTCCAATTGGTCCCGTAAGGCTGTGTCAGCCCGCTTTGCTGGCGACCAATGGCTTCAACACAATTCCTGTCTGCAGACAACTTTAAACAAAGCAGGGGAGGCTGTTTTCACTCATTGTCAGGAAAATAGCGACTTTCCGCTGTTTGCGGACATGCAGCTCAGAATGTGTGTCAAGCACGGTATTGAGCCCTCCCGATCCGCTGGAGGGCAACGGCACCATTGCGACAGTGTTGTTCAGCCAGCTTATTGCGAATCTTTCTCTGGCTCGCATGCACTGTGTCCCCTTGGGTTGAGCACATGGTCACCGTGGGTTACCGCTGGTTACAATTCCAGATCAAACCACCTGTGTTCACTGCAGTTGTGCACACTATTGTGAATGCAGATGCAGTGGTCATGTTGAGGAGAAAATGAAGACTGTTAAGTAAAGGAGCTGTTCTAGCGGTCCCCCTCGAGGAAACAAACAAGGGTTGGTACAACCACTTACAGGTGGGGTGCAGCACTTCCAGCATTGGGCACGCTCTCACCGTCTCTGTCCCTTTTGTCATCTTCACCGAAAGTTGACCATGCCCAGGGCCTGCATAGTGGCTCTTCCCTCATGGAGAGAACCGGGTTGCTCCACCGGGGTTCTCCAATTGGGAGGGTGTCCAAACGTGTGGCCGGGACCACAGACACTTCCCTGAAAGGCTGGGAGGCTCTGTGCAGGGTTGTGGCATTGAAGGACAAATGGTCCCCAAATCAACTGGGGTTCTGTATAAACTACCTAGAGCTGTCAGCCATGTTTCTGGCCCTGAGACTTTTCATTCATTATCTGAGAGGCCAGCATGTGCTAGAACACTCTCCCTTTCTCTGCACGACCCACGGGGTAGACCTGCTCTCCAGGGACAAACCCCTGGCAAGGTAATGGAGCCTTCACCCACTTGTGGTGTCCCAGATCTGGACAAGGTCTGGCAGGGCAGTTGTGGATCTGTTTGCGTCACTCGCAAACTCACACTGTCCTCTTCTCTCCTTCTTGAAGAACCAGCTCAGTGGCCTAGTGGTAGAGTGTCCGCCCTGAGACTTCAGGAAACAGGGGTTATATGCATAACCTAACTATCCCCCAGGTGTGTTGAAGCAGGGTTAAAACTAAAATATGTTGGATAGCGGCCCTCGATGGACCAGGGTTCCCCACCCCTGCTTTACAGGCATGATTACGAGGGTGAGATGTCCAATAGTACTTTCATTGTACCTCGTTCCTCTCCTTCAGGGAACATGCATAATAACCTTTTAGTAGTTTCTCTGCTCCAACACACTTGATTCATTGGTTGAATCAAGTGTGCAGCAGCTCGCCAGGCTCTGCAGAAGCCTGTTAATTACCTACTAATTGAAATCAGAAGTGTTGAAGCAGGGTTAAAACCAAAATGTGCTCCATGCCGGCCCTCGAGTCTCTGAATGAAGTAGCCCTGGCCTACTGTAAACGTAAGACTTTGCAGCAGCAGTTACATTCCACCTGTACGAGAACGTTTCATGTCACATCGAGTTTTGTGGCGGGTAGTATACAGGGGTAATGAGAAGAACCTTGGGTTAGGCCTAGCTTTAGTGGAAGCTTTTAGAACATCAAAAATTAGACGAGATTGAAACCAGCTGTGATTTCACTCACATTAGTTAATAATGAACAGTTACCTTCAAATAAATCAGAGGTTTTTACAAGAGATGCACCAAAAATCTTTGGCTGAAAACGAACCAAAAGTGCCGAAACGCCAAAATCACTGAAACGACACGAGCAAAACAGGCCGTCAGGTGAACCCTGTGTTCATTTCATTCATCTTGCTCTTTGCTTCTCCTTACTGATTTCAAAAGTGACGTTTTCCACTTTTACTAATTCTGTTTTATTACAATCGCTGGAATATTCCTATCAATTATGCAACGTGCTTCTTACTTTCACATCTACCGCATCTGCTCGGCTTTTTCCACTTTGTCTGTGACTATAGCGGTGTTTTTACCATCCTCTCTACACCCACCATGTCCTGAACACGGTGAAATAAGCGAAATAAGCTCTGAATCATGTGTGTGAAGAGTGTTTACGCTGATGATGCACAGACACTTTTGCTGCTGCAGCGTCTCGTTCTTCCTCACTGGGCGAGTGAATACCTTCATCAGAGGGTGAATATTCCCCTTCAGAACCAGTCAGACATTACCAGACACAGCTTTGTCAACAATGAACAGACCTGCAAGCATTGTAAGTTTCTCCTCTCTAATGTATATTAGTATATTCACCCTCTGTGAGCTCCGCTCTCCTTCGAAAATTTCAATAGAAACACCAAAAGGTGTTGCTGAGGTTGAAGTTACACATCTCCACTATCTTCTGGTGTAAACTAATAACTTCATGAGGGGTTATATTTGCAGCTGTGGCTCGTTAAACGGTATATTGCAACTTTGACGCTTAAAAATTAACTTTACAGTCCTGCTAATGCTATGGTTTTAATTATAAATGGTAAATGGCTTGTATTTGATATAGCACCTTCTAGAGTCCTGGAACCCCCCCAAGGTGCTTTACAACACAATCAGTCATTCACCCATTCACACACCCATTCACACGCTGGTGGAGATGAACTACGATGTAGCCACAGCTGCCCTGGGGTGCTCTGACAGAGGCGAGACTACCGAGCACTGGCGCCACCGGGCCCTCCGACCACCACCAGCAGGCAACGTGGGTTAAGTGTCTTGCCCAAGGACACAGCGACAGCGACAGACTGAGCGGGGCTCGAACTTGCAACCTTTCGATTACGGGGCGAGCACTTAACTTCTGTGCCACCGTCGCCCAAACCTATATATTACACCTATATTAACATCATAATTTCCTTCGGTGTTTCGATTTTCAGCCAAGAATTTTCATTTTGGTGCATCCAAAATTTTTACCTGACAGTGAGAAGAAAAAGAGACCTCTAGCTGGTCCAGACCCTACAGATCCAGTTATCTTCATGATTATCATGATGATGATGATGTTGGTCCTGTTGTCCACAGGGTCATTCTAGCTACATCACTCACCTGGACTGGTCACCAGACAACCACTACATCATGTCCAACTCTGGAGATTATGAGATCCTGTACTGTGAGTACTCTAACCCTCCAGTCCTTCAGACACAGAGTCAAAGGTCACCTGTTTGTGTTTTCATTTTAATGCTGTAATGTAACCATTTATGTTTTAGGGGACATCGAAAGTAATTGTGATTTGATCCGAAACCGCTCTGAGTGTAAGGACATCGACTGGGTGACTTACACCTGCGTCCTGGGATACCATGTTTTTGGTCAGTGCATGTGAAAATGAGTTACATTGAGAAGTTCGTTTTAAAACTCAGTCTCTGAGACGGTAAGGGTGAGTGAAAGTTCTGACCCAGTTCACACTCTGTTTAGGAGTTTGGCCCGAGGGTTCAGACGGCACCGACATCAATGCTCTGGAGAGATCCCACAACAGGAGGGTGATTGCGCTGGCAGATGACTTCTGTAAAGTTCACCTGTTCGCCTACCCCTGCTCCAAACCCAAGGTGACTCAGAGCCCTGATTGGTCCGAAAAATTTGAGCAGGGACCGAATCTTCTCAGAGAGAAGAAATTTAATTTCCACTCGTGACTTAAAGGGGCATTATGGAAGTTTGACAGCCAAAACGTGTATAGAAATAATACATTTCTTCTTCATACATTCTCCTGCAATGCCCTGGTGCTGTAGAATGAGCCCTGGCATTTTTACTGTGATTGCCTGTTTTTTTGTAAAATCACAGAAAAAGAGAGTTGCTCGGGTCGAGCAGGCTGCTTCATGCGCGTTCACGCTCAGGCATAGCCTGTAGCATTTGCTATCCGTGGCTTTAGCAGCAGAGAGTGAGGTAGTGCCAACTCGGCGACTTTGCCGCTGTTCCTACAGGGTATCTGCGGGTCCTTAAAAAGTCTTAAATTTGCTTTTCCAAATTTAAGGCCTTAAAAATCCTTAAAAATGACAAATAATCCTTAAATCCAGTTTCCAAAGGTCTTAAATTACCAAAGACCCAATAAACAAGATTCTTTTATTTCTATAAAAATTTTGTGAATTTGTAGTTAGTGTTCAGCATTTTTCTGTGTATGACATTGGCGTAAGCGGAACCATACACGTTCAGTTGGTTGTGAAAGGGGGCTATTTTTAGATGAGCACATTAGCTGATTAAGCTAGTGGGAGCTTGCGCCATGGGGAAGTGCAAGTGTGACGGTACCTGGATAGCTAATCCCACGTTCGCGACGTGGTTAGAACCGGTTCCAGGCAATAGCTGGAAATTATAGCTTAAAGTTATTTTTGAAAATAGCTTAAATTTGGTCAAAATGGCCTTAAAAAGGTCTTAAAAAGTCTTAAATTCGGCTCCCTTAAACCTGCAGATACCCTGTCCTAACGCCTAGTGATGAACCTAGCTACATTTCTGAGGACCCTTAGCTACTTCCTGTAGAATTTTCTTCTAGATATTTCCTGCAAATTAGCAACGAAATAGCCATTTTCGTAACAGCTTGTTAATGCAGATTAAATGCAGTTTGTTTATGAACACATGATAAACACTGGTTTCCAAATTCTGGACATCTCCTGTGATTTAGTTCCCTCAACAGTTTCAGCTGATTGTCCCATTTAGTAATAAACCATGATTATGAAACGTAAATTTGCCCGTGAAGCAAAACTTTACTTTCACGAGCAAAAAAAAAAAAAAAATAAATAAATAAATAAATAAATAGAAACATTATTAAATGAATCAGGAAAGCAGGAAGAAATGTTATTCCTGTTTTTACATTATTTTTTTACTTCAGTTCAAAGTAATCAAAATGTTGTTTTAATCACATTTAGTGTGTATTTTCTTGAAAATACCCTCAGCTTTTTTCATTTGATGTGAAAATTTGTTTAGCATTTTTTGGAAAAAATAATCATAACACAGCATTTACTTTGTATTAACTGCCAGTTAAAGAACATTAAATGTTCATTAAAAGGAATTCTGTAGTCTTTGGAAGTATTTGTTTATTTATGACTAAACAGCTCAACACAGAAAAACTGACATTGCTGCTTAGGGCAGGGCACAGGGTCAGGGCCTGAGCAGGTTAGCTGCAAAGTTATGTTTCTGATCCATTCTAAATAAATGTCAATCATTCACACGAAGTACATTTTATTTCATTATCTGAATGTTTCCAAATTAGTAAAAATAAATAAATAAATAAATGTTTATTTAGTTTTATTTTCAGAAAGTCACTAATTTCACTTTTGATGTATTGAATTACAGAGAAATCAACTATTTAGTAAATATAGCATTTTTAACAGAAATATTCGCCTGGTGAACATTCCTGCAGGAGTGTGTTAAACAGCTTATTATTTAATTAAAATTAAATAAAAAATACAGAAATATATTTAACTTGAAATAAATTGTAATGCTTGATTCCCACCTTGATTGTTGTGGTACAGCCATGGGCGGAAGTGATTTCTGTTCATTTTGGGTCCCAGCCAGATTCTCTCTTTACTTTTTTCTTCCCTCTGACTGCTTCCCTGCTGCTCTCTCCCTCATCATGCTCACTTATTAATACTTCGTCAGGTCAGGGTTACAAGGACTCACATCATCTGTCCATCAGCAGTAAAGAGTTACAGCTACATGTCACAAATGTCTCCAAGGAACTTTTAGTTATAATTAATGTAAAATTATTTAAATTCCATCTAGGTTCTGTCGGTTATTAATATTAAGATTACCTTTTATCGTGTTTTGCCAAGAAAACAAATCTATCATTTTAAGCTAACTTCATGATGTAGTTGCATCCATTAACAGGATTATGTTCATGCGGGTCATCAGCATTAAGTTTTTGAAGTTATGAAAGCAAACATGGCTGGAATCAGTTTTACCTGTAATTTGTTTCTCTAAGTGTGTGTGCTGCTGTAATTAGTGGATGTCCCCACTGTGGGATTAATAATCTATTCTGTTCTATTCAATACATTTTTATCAGCCAGTAGGAAAAAGTACGTTTGAGGAATTTTGACCTTTCTGGGCTTCCGTATCCGTAACCTGGTTACAGAGGAGGGGTTTGTCTCCCAAACACACTGGTTACACATGAATTAAAACATTAGGATGCCTAATGTTTTTCCAGCCACGCAGTGTCTTCCAGTTGTGGGTAGCCCAGGTTTTTACTTTTCAGGAATGCTCTAAACAAGCAACAAATCATCACACAACCTCACCCCTGGACAGCAAGCAGACTTTATGTAGCAGGAGATCAGATATTTGCTGTCAACTTCATCTAGCAATTCATGGACCTGACTGGTTAAAATATGAAAGACCATCTTTTTTTCTTCTTTTCTTTTTAAATGCTTTTGCAATTATCTTGTTTACGATCATGATGACAAGGTTCGTCACCTAGAAATGTTCGTGCACAAGCTTCTTCTTGGTGCAAGATGCAGTAAAATGCAAGCAGATTTCAATCCAACGCTTTCTCTAGTAAAGTCACAAACCCCTTTTGCAACCCTCTCATATTGGGTGCCCCATCTTTAGCTACTAAATCAGGTGGTTGGTGTTCAATCCTTTGTCATTCAAACACTTCAGCACAGCCTCACAGATGTCATTCCCCCATGTTTAGCCTTTCAGTGGTATGATTTGATCATTTCTTCTTGTGGCCCATCACAGTTCACATACTTGCATAACAGCGCTACCTGTTCGATGTCGGTCACATCACACGATACATCACAGGCAATTAAGTACGCTGGAGCTGAAATTATTCGTTTCAATTATTTGCTTATGGAGTGCCTTCCTGCTACCAATCAAAGCAGCCCAAAGCGCTGAACACAGCAGTGTAAAATCAACAAACATTAAAATAATAAGTGATTCATCGTAAAAAGTACTACACATGAACTCATGTTGAGTACCAGAGCAGTAAAGTGATGTAGATAGTGATGTAGATAAGGTGGCGCAGTCACGTTTAATATAAAACTTTACTATAAGAAGCAAAGCAGTTAAAATGTTGTATTTTTAATGAACTGCATCCTAAATTGTCTTTCTCAAATGCAACTGAAAGAAATATTAATTTGTCCTTTTTGTCTGCTGAAAGGACGGACGTCTCTGGCCGTAGACGATATCTTCTCGATAGGGATCTAGAGAGTGAGCCTTGTCTTTGTCCTAACCATTTATTAATCTGTGTCTACAGGCCCCCAGCCATAAATACAGTGCCCACAGCAGTCATGTGACCAACGTCAGTTTCCTGTACAACGACAGCCACCTGATCTCCACGGGGGGGAAAGACACCAGCATCATGCAGTGGCGCTTGATAGGAAAATCTTCTCCGTCCCTCGCTGATGGCATCATCTCTAATCCTGCTCCTCGCAGGGCCGATCACAGCATCACCCCTCCCGCAACAGCTACACCTTTACAGGAACCAAGCCCCCCCCTGACTGCCAATGGGACCCAAGAACCATTCACTGAAACTTCACCCCCCACACAGTTAGTCACGCCCACCACTGAGCTGACCCCGCCCTGCTCTGAGTCAACTCCGCCCCCCTCAGACAGCACAGTGAGTCTGAAGGACAGCCTAGAACCAAGTGACGACACAGCCACACCCAGTGATGAGGGATTGCCCCCCCTGACCCCACCCTCCTAGAACATGTCTGTGTGTGTGTGTATTCTTGGCCAGCTGTCTTTGTGGGGACCTAGTTCTGTTTTCATCAGTAATGGGACAGTAGACAAAGTGAGGACAGCAGTTGGGTCCTGCTTTGTGTTGGACACAAAAACACCTGATCACAGCGTCAGACTTGGTTTTAGATTGAATCAGTTCAGAAATGTGATGAAGTGATGACTATACAACAGAAACAAATGTTTCTATCAGATGTCCAGCTTTTATTCAGTTGACTCTGAAACCAGAAAATTACTCTCCGGATCCTCCTGCTTAGTTTTTTCAGTGGAGCAGAAATGTTACTGGTTGTCTGTACACCACTGGACCCCTGTGAACGTGAGCTCTCCTCAAATGGCTTCATGTAAAGAGAAAGTTTGACTAAAAATATTGTAATCAGCTCAAGATAACGACCAATATCTCTTCAAGCTAATCAGATTTGAAGGGTAAAATTGTGCCTGAGTTTGAAAGATCTGAAGCCAACTTGATTTGCAGTAACTTTAGGAGAGGCGAGTACCTCTCTCACCCTCAGCATATCTCCCACTTTGTTCCTGCCAGGAGAGAACCAGACACGCCCCAAGCAGGAAATGGTTTTCTTTACCGAAATAAGGGATGACGGGTGAGGCAGGGCTTCTCCACCAATTAGAGAAGAGTTCAACAGGAAGTGCCTGGATCAGAGGAAACTCCCAAGACTTTTTCATCTAAAATCACAAATCCTTAAAAAATAATTATTTACCTTTAAAATTTATTTTTGGGGTAAAAGAAAAATAGTCAACTAAAACTTTTTTTAATTCACACTTTTCCACTCTTTTTGCCCTTGTGTGAAGGAAGTCAATTACTGGTGCTTTTATTTTGAAGTGATAAACTAATCAACTTTATGGCCGGAGGAGGAAGTGGCCATGTTTCAGTTAAACAATATTGTAAATAGAAACTAATAAAAATCAGAACTAAATAAAGCATGGTAATTGTTCTAATCTTTGATCAGAACAAATCTGACTTCCATGAATTTGCTTAATTCAGTCAGAGGTCTGGTCGTTCAGTTTGGTTTGTTTCTGGGGAAGCTCTCAACTGAAGCAGGTGAGTTTCTCTCTGAAGCCAGTCAGATTAAAGCATCAAACATTTGTGAAGTAAAAAGCATATGAGCTGCAGGTTGACCTCCAGAATAAAAGCTGTGACTGACCTTATTGATACTGCGGAGGCGTCTGACTGAGGATCTGTGCTGCAGTTGTATGTATATTCTGCAGATTGATTCTGTCTGTATATTTCTGTTCAACATTATTGAGCAGCAGCTCAAAAAGACTGTTACCGTCGCATTACATCTCTTGCCCAATCGGATGTCAGGAAACGTCAGGTCTCCTGCTCTGATTGGCTGCTCTCAGTGAATGAATGAATGACTTGTCGATGTATTTGTCTCTTCTGGACCATTTCAATTCAGAAGCTTTTTGAATGTCTTGATTATGATAATGTCACTCCAGGTGTGGGGTTTGTGTGTGGGTGGGGCTTTCAGGTTGCCTTTTTAATACTTAATCTTCCTTAATCTTTTCTACGCTTGTTTCTCCAAAGGGCTTGTGCAGAGTTCAGGGACTCGTCCGGCCCTTCGTCCGGTCTGGGTGGCGCTACAGGAGTAGTGGGCGGGGTTAGGGCTGGACGTGGAGCTTTGGAGTTTCTGAACTAATGTGTTTATCGGTGTTAATGACACTGGTACTCATGATGATTTTTATGTGACTGTTTTGAGCCAATCCTGTTTTCATTCATGCATTCCTGTCCCAACGACAGACTGTACTGAAAACTGAAACAAAGAATGCAAATAAATGTAATAACTTGAAAATCTGCTTATTCTTTGAGCTGTGGCTGCAGCATCCTGCTATAATTATTATTGCTGATACATTTTTAGAAGACTCGGCTTCTGTAGAACAGTAATTCCCTCATGATGAAGAGGATGAAGGAAAGCGGGTCATCGGCGTGGTGAAGCTGAGGAAGGCTGCTGAACTAGACTCTGGCTAGACGTGTGCTGAAAGACTGCAGATCAACTGGCTGGAACCTGAACCCAGACTGCTCAGTCCCATCCTTGTTCCTCTGCTGAAACAGCTTGAATGACTTCAGCCCAGTAGCTCTCACTATTATGAATAGATTTGAGAAGCGTGAGGAGTCTCATCAACCCGCTGGCCTGGAACCTTTCGATCTGCTTACAAAGCAGAGAGATCCATGGAGGATGCTGTGAGAGATGGGTGCGTTTGTGATGGTCTACAAGTCTGGAAGTGCTTAATTTCACCATCTCAACCACTGAGCTGCCAGTTTCCTCTCCAAAATACTCTTACTCCAGAGTCAAAGTTAGCTTAAAGTTACCCCATTTCCCATGACGTTTCCATAGAAAACGACTCACGCAATTTTCAGAACCTGTTTTGTACAAAACAAAGTTTTATAAATGAGGCCTCAGAACCTCTGAGGAGCTTACAACACCTTGTAGGATCCATGATGAGAAGAGCTGAGGATGATGTAGAGGCAAAAGAGGTCTAGGTACTGAAAAGGTGGTTCTAATGAAGGGGCTGCTGGAGAGTGCGTTTCTAACATCTGCTCAGTATTTGTCTCCCCCTGGTGGACCACTGCTGAAGAGCTACAGAAACATGATGGATGAAAAGCAAACTTCTGCTCTGATGTTTATTAGATTTTATTCATTAGATAGAAACAGCTGTGTGAGATGACACAAGGCTCACATTATTACGAAGCAAGCGACTTTTTCCAGTTTGTTTTGAAAAATCCAATTCAAGATGAATATGTACAATGTAGCATACAGCACTGGCACACTATAAAACAAGTTTTTTTTTTTAAATCCGAAGGCACCAGACGTGAGGCTGACACTGTATGACCCAATGTGATCTGACAGCACACACTGTAGCAACATGTCTGACCGAGAAAAAACAATTAACTATAGGCATGTTTACATTAGCTAGGGTAGTTCCTGGGATGGGGAACTTGACCAGGAGATAGGACGTCCCAGTCCTCTCAGCTGTTGTGTCTCCATTCAAATCCAGCCCTTTCAGAACTTGCACAGACGTCAGCAGATCACAACTGCTTTGGCAGTGAGTGATGTCACTGATCAGCCCCAAAAAGCGCCCAAAGTAACATTAATAATATTAAAAGCATTTATTTCACAGAAGTACATCATAATTTAATCCATTCCGAGGACAAGAGCAGCTCTAAGTTTTGTGAGACAAGCCCCTGTTAGTTTAGTCTGTGGGGGAATTTCCCTGTTTTTTCCGGTTGGGAGTTAGATTTTAAATGCTGAAATGTAAGGAGGCTAGCCTGGCAAGCCAGACTAAATAAATGTGTTATTTATAAGTCTGGCCATGCTCCATTGACGGCTCTCGGTTGTGGGGCGGGTTCTACCGTTGTCTTTCAAATGATCTCCGCATTCCACTGGACAATGAATGTGACATACTCTTGTTTCACTCTGTTGCATCATCCCACCCACCAGGCATATAGAGTGCCCTGATTGGCCCACAAAGCGGATAAAGCTCTGTGATTTGTTCACTAAGCTCATAGAGCACTATGATTGGCTAGCCAGAGTCCTGGTAGGAGCTGCTGAGGTTCCAATGGAGCATGCCTAGACCAAACTTTGCAAAGCAAGAATTTGGTCTAGTTCACTAGGCTATAAGGAGGCTTCATGGCTACGTAAACACAACCCTCACATAGACTGGAACACAGCTGAAGTTCTGAACTGTCTGTCCAATGTCATGCATCCTGTCTGCTTGTGGCAGAGAGACTCCAGGTCAGTCTATTCCAGGTATCGAGCAAACATTCCCCAACCTCTCTAGGGTCCCCCCTGACTAACATGATCTCAAAGAGGTGTTCAACAAGCACCGTGCCTGCTCAGCTCCCTCCTCATAGGCCCTATGATTGTGCCATTGATCTGCTGCCTGGTGCCTTTCCCCCTAGGGGAAGGTTGTATTCACTGTCTGGTCCAGAGAACCTGGCTATGGAACAATAAAAGCTGGCATAATCCGCCCTTCATCATCCCCTGCTAGAGCAGGATTTTTCTTTGTGGGTAAGGATGGATCTCTTAGACCATATATCACCAAATGGCGGATAGGTCCGGATCCGGACCAAAGGATGGTTCTGTCCAGACCGGTAGGCAAAGTCCCAGGGAAAAAAAATAAATCCCACAAACAAATCAGCGCTGTATGCAGTAAAACTGTGGGCGCAGATCCACCAGTTATTACGGTAATCACCTGCCCTTTATGGCCTATTTTTAGGTAGAAAGCAATTCAACCCAAGCCTTTAGCTTTCAGCGAATGATAAATACAGAAGAGTGGACATGGCATGCTTGAATGTGAGAAAAGAGGATTCAGAAAACAGAACTTTTAAAAGTGAGTGGATGAACCAGTATGAGTTCCTTCTTCCAACCAGCAAAACTTTGTGTCTAATATGCTGTGAAACAGTTAGTCAAAAGCGAGAATATTACACGTCACTATGAAACGAAACACAAGTTTTTTGAAGCAACGTATCCACCAAAGTCTGAAGTGAGAACACGGAAAATAGATTAGCTAAAAAGTCAATATGACAGATTCACCCGACTCATCATGCACTCTTTCTCTGCACAGCCGCGTGCCTACGAGGGTTCTCTGCGCATCGCTTGGATTTTAGGACAGCATAAAAAAACATTCAGTGACGTGACGGCCGTGAAGAAGTGTTTGACTGCTGCTGCAAAGACGCTGCTCGAAGGTAAACAAAATGACGAACTATGTGAAAAAATGAAACTAATCCCAATGTCAGCTACAACAACAATCAGAAAATCTGAAGTGTTGGTGCAGAGTGCAGAATGCGTATCATTAGCCAATGATGAGTCCACAGATGATGCAGAACTAGTGGTACATGTGAGATTTTTTCTCAAAGAAAAGAGAGTGAAGACTTGCTGGGTGTGAGGTCACTAGAGACACAAACAAGAGAAGAGGACATATATGAGGCTATTAACCCTCTCAGGCTCAAAATAAATTTTGATAAACGGACAAACAACTAAGTCCTTCAGGGGTACTTCTGAGTTAAAAATGCTCATGAAATACGTATGCGGAGTAACCAGGTAGGACGGATTTAATGTTGCAAACCTGCAACGCCTGCCTCTAGAGGGTTAAGGACATGCTGATAAAGAGGGGAGTAGATCCCAAAAAGGTGATCTCAGTCACTACAGATGGTGCCCTATCCATGGTTGGAAGAGAGAAGGGGGCTGTGACACGGATGAAAGAGGACAACTCAGACCTTATTGCATATCACTGCATCATCCATCAGACTGTTCTGTGTGCTACTCTGAAGGAAGAGTTTCGTTTCATTCATTCATTTGTATCACGATGAAGGAGCCATTTCTCAGGGTTATTATCCTCTAACAATTGTTCCCTTTTGACACAGCACCAGAGTGCATGAAACAGCCTCAAGGTCATGCATTCGCTTCTAAACTGTTTACATTCCAGCAATGAAGACAGAAGATGAAGACTCCTTTCTTTTCTTTTATTAAAAGCCAAATAACTCCATCTTCAATAAAGCTAATCAAAACAACTGTTAGTCAATAATACCATGTGACCGATCTGTGAAATCACATTATTATGATTAATATGTTTTAATAAGTGAATGACTTATTCTAGCCACTAGACACACTGATACACTAAGGTAAATAATCACATGACACATTGCTGTTGCTGATCCAATCAGAATCTTCCCCGTCTGAAGCGTGGCAGAGTCTCTGTGGTGTTTATTTAATCTGTCAGCTTTGATTCGTCCAGAATCATAAACATCCAGATTAATAAAACACTTCCAACGCCATTTTCCAGTTCAGTATTCAACAAGATCTCAAGATCCCCTGAAGTTCACCGCATGCTAAGTGGAGTATGGAAAGGCCATCCATACTCTTCTTTTTAAGCTAAGAACTACCAAGCTGGGAAACCTGCCGTTGTTATCAACCAACAACGGTGCCTTCAGAATAAATGGTAAATGGCCTGTATTTGATATAGCGCCTTCTAGAGTCCTAGAACCCCCCAAGGCGCTTTACAACACAATCAGTCATTCACCCATTCACACACACATTCACACACTGGTGGTGATGAGCTACAATGTAGCCACAGCTGCCCTGGGGCGCACTGACAGAGGCGAGGCTGCCGAGCACTGGTGCCACCAGTCCCTCCGACCACCACCAGCAGGCAACGTGGGTTAAGTGTCTTGCCCAAGGACACAACGACAGCGACAGACTGAGCGGGACTCGAACCAGCAACCTTCCGATTACGGTGCGAGCACTTAACTCCTGTGCCACCGATAAAATCTGAACTCGCTGACCCAAGGAGGGTCCCCTTTTTGATGCTGTGAAACACCTGTCACTTTTACCTGGAGACTATCTAAAGACTGGTTTGTCGTACTGTCGACGCTGTTTCATCGGCTCCAGTACCAGAGGAAGGTCGTGGACCTGGCATCCGGATCTGTACGGAGGTCTCACTGAAGCGTATGTGGATGCGACACAAATGGCGTCTCATGTGTTTATGACCACAGTTCAAACTTGATCAGTTAGGAGCAAAACATCATATCCCACTCAGACTCGCTTCTCCGGAAACGGGGGTTCTGAACTGACATCACACACACACACTCCACCTCACACTTCATTCCAACAAACATCCATCATTAGAGAGTTAGTCTTGTTAAATTGTTTAAAATAATTTTAGTAATACATTTTCTTAAACGTTTGAAAGTCTCTCTTCTCTTGTCTCTCAGTTCATGCAAAGTGTTTAATTTCCCTGTAATAAAAAGAACCAATCTTCTGATTTAAATAACCCAGGGTCCATAAGATGGGAT